TTAAACCTGTGATAGCAGTAGAAAACATTATTCTAATATATTAATATTATTAATCATAATTATTATTATGGGAACGAAGGATGTGAAGATGCATATAAAATATGTAGGTTTAAAAGTTAATAATAGCCCAGGGGCGTATACAGGAATTTTTCCATGGCCAGAGGGCTTATTATTTTTTTTCCAGGGGGCGTCTCAGTGCCCGTTGGAATCTGAAACCCCCCTAAGGGGGGACTAAGCCCCATCGGCCCTCCCCCTGTATACGTCTCTGAATGATACCCAACATCAATGGTCATAATTGTTCCAGGTACACAATTCCCTCCTGGACATGATACTGTTGTAACCATAGGGTCAGGAGAATCTTCATTTCCGGTCAAACCCGGAGACAGGACGGATCCAACTTCAAACATGACATGACCTTCATGATCAGACGTTACCTGGAATAGACATTTAGACTTAATCAACTGGGATATCATCTTATTATTTTTTTTCATTAATTATAAAGCTTGGCGTCAATTCAATTTATCACATACAATACAGATATGATATGTCAAGAAAGTAACTTATCAGTTATTATAATTTAATTTGAAAAGGAATTGAGTTTTGCCACACACTCAAATGTTCTAATCTCTATATCCTTGCAAAGTTGCTGATGATATAAACTTTTGATATTTCAGACTTATAATAGATTTAAGTTAGACATTAGGTTTTTCGAGTATTATGTGCGTATTTGAAATAACGAAGGTCTATGACATCGGGTTGTAAAGAAAAATCCTTATGCCAATGCTGTAAATATTTGTAAATATTTGATCTAACAGAATCCAATGTTGGAAAATAAAGGGGGATTTGTGGTGAGAACAAGTTTTAGAACAGTAAAAACATCTGTTTTAAATGGTTGAAAATGAGGCCCATCTTGCAAGAATTTGAGCTGTGTATTGATGCTGGATATATTGACCTTGTAGTCAGCGTCTGTTTTATTCCCAGTATATCCTTGTCCTGTGAGAACTCCTGAACTACCATCTGGAGAATAACTCTTGTAGGTCATACTCACCGGAGACGGTAACCTACAACCAAAAGAAAATTGAGTTATGGTTACATGCAGGGTGTCCCACATAATTTCGGGTCGTTTATGGGTCTAAATTACGATTTTTGGAACTAATCAGTTAAAGAGAATGATTCGGTTTAAAAATTGTATAAGCCTAATTAGACATTAGGTTTTTCGAGTATTATGTGCGTATTTCAGCTTTAAATCTAGGAGATAATCCTATATGATATGGGACGCTCTGTAACTAAAACAGGTCAAGGATCCACATAATTCCATCTAATAAGATCCTAAATGTTGAAAGATTGATTAGTATTAGGGGCAGAATGTTGTTGTTGTAAATAATTGGAAGCATGATGTCAAGTTGTAGAAACAGATCCATACAAGGGTGTAATGCATCTTTGGATCCATATAACTGCAGAATGTATACTGCAAGGGAGTGTTTATTTTTATGCTGTATTTCATAAGTTATCTCCCCAGGGAATAAGATTAAAGGGAAGGGAAATGGCGCTGGTCTGGCATGAGAAAGCCAGTCGAACTGCTTAGTAGAAGAGTTCGTTATCACACACGCACACTCTTTTGGTACAGACACACACCATGACTACTGTCAAGGAAATTGCAGAACAATGTCGTCAATTATAGTTAAGCTTGAATAACGAGTAGTTTATTGTAAACTTTAATCAATTTATATTTATATTCTTTGCATTAAAATTTGGCTTATAGTGTTGACTTAAATAAATTAATAATATATAAGATGTAAATTAAACTTATTTTTAAATAAACAATTAATAAAAATCAAATGTACACACCTAGACTGTACAAATACCGAGATTCTTATGTACTGTATATACCTACAGTACACGCCTTCGGTTCGTTATCTCTTAAACACACTCTTTTGGTACAGACAAACATACATGACGTTTCCGCTCCCTAATTATTTGTTATATTTATTACTGATATTTACATATTTTACCACCCCAAATGCAGTACACAATGCCAGTGTGGTACACGTTCACAAAAAAACTGCCAAAGTTCACAATGACACAGAAAGTGTATTTTTTACGACCCTAAATATACATTCAACCCAGATCCCATTTGCATGCAGATCAGCAATGAAATTATATGGACCCATGAAACAGGTCTATCCGTGTTTGTCATCTTCTACTCCTTGCTAACAAATGTTTGGAATGGTATGGATAGAAAGAATCTATGTAAGAAAGTCCCGGGAAAAGAAGTTTCTGAACAAAAACCTGGAAATAAAAATTTTGGAAAAAAGTCCGAATTTTCTCAAGTCCTTGGAAAAAATGTCACTGGAAATAAAGTCCTGCGTTTTGGATTCCTGGGACTTTTTTCCTTAAAATAGTTTGGGGGCTGTCAATTAAGTCCCAGGAAATAAGATCAAAGGGAAAAAGTCCTGATGAAAGTATATATCCGAAGAAAAAAAAACCAAGAAAAAAAGTCCTAAATCTTGTGAAAATGAGGTCAAGTCTAAGACGTTTTTATAAAAAAGAGTTTTTTACGCATCTTGTACTTTGAATATAGCCATGGGGGTGTTTTTAATGTCAATTGCCCCTTTTTGTATGGTTATGAACATCCTTTGTTCCCATGAGTTTTCCACTATAATAGGACGTGTTTGTATAAAATCATACTGGAATCAGAAAAAAAGTCCTAGAAAATAAAGTCTCGAATTGATAAAACTTTATTTCCGGAGACTTTTTAATTTAAGAACTTTATAGTGCAAAATATTAGGACTTTTTTCCGGAACCTTTTTCCCAAGATTGGTCTTTTTAAAGAAATATAGGAATTAAGTTTTAGCAACAAACTCAAATTTACTAAGATATAGGGATTTGAAAAGTTGCAGTTTTTATTTAATTTTAAGCTCTTTCTCTTTCTCAAGGCTAAGTTGATGTCAATATAAACACAAGCTAAAAAGGTGTCACAAAGTGTCGATTTTTCCCCCCCCCCCCATTAATTAAGTTTTAGTAATTTCATTTTATAGTCAAACAACCAAAACTTTGAGATTTAAAATGTGATCAAAGGAGAAAAGTTAAACCTGTGATAGCAGTAGAAAACATTATTCTCATCTCTGTCTACGCAGCATCCTCGGGACTCACAAACTTCCTAGTAAAAATTTAAATGATTTAGTTCTGTGCTAACTGATTTTATCGTGACTTTCAAAGATGTGCCTAAGCGGAGAGACTTTGAATTCAGTTTTAAATCCAAACAACCAAAAAACTATTTAAAAAAAAATATTTTTTAACGAAAAGTAGGACTTGAAAATCTGTTACTTAGCGGTCTAAATTTTTTTTTGAATACTTAAATAAATCATTTATTCAAAATATAAACCACTGGGGGGTTATTTGCAAAGTTTTACTAAAGAAAATTGTTCAATACTATTTGAAACACTTTTGGGTTGTGGAAAACAACAAAACTTCTCAAGACTTATACTTCATAATCAATAAATTTCTTTTTTCTTTTTCTAATTTTTGATTTTCATACTATATGTGATACTAACTAATATTAATTTAAAATTTTTTTTTTACAAATATAAACTTACAACTGAGAATATGTTTATATCAGGAAGACAATCTACTCTGAAGGAATCCTTGACGCCACAAGTTCCAGAATATTTAGAGTTAGAGTCCTGCAACAAAACATCTGTTAGAGTCCTGCAACAAAACATTTGTTAGAGCCCTGCAACAAAACATCTGTTAGAGTCCTGCAACAAAACATCTGTTAGAGTCCTGCAACAAAACATCTGTTAGAGTCCTGCAACAAAACATCTGTAAGAGTCCTGCTACAAAACATCTGTTAGAGTCCTGCTACAAAACATCTGTTAGAGTCCTGCAACAAAACATTTGTTAGAGTCCTGCAACAAAACATCTGTTAAAAGGATTGATAATATATTTGAAAAATAAATTACCAGATCTCAACGGTCGATAAAATTTTGTTTAGAATAACCTCTTTTCATAAAATATCCAGCCTCTAGACATTGACATATGAACAACTCTGAGAGTTAGTAATCAAAGAAATAGAGTCTTTGTCACAAACTCGAATTTTACAAGTTGAGTTTTATACAGCTGAACTAGTATATAGCATATACTTAATAGAGAAGGTTTAGATTGTACGCCTTGTACAAGTTGAGATGGGTGCATGAGTGTTATAGCTGAACTAGTATATAGCATATATACTTAATAGAGAAGGTTTAGATTTTACGCCTTGTACAAGTTGAGATGGGTGCATGAGTGTTATAGCAGAACTAGTATATAGCATTTATACTTAATAGAGAAGGTTTAGATTGTACGCCTTGTACAAGTTAAGATGGGTGCATGAGTGTTATAGCTGAACTAGTATATAGCATATACTTAATAGAGAAGGTTTAGATTGTACGCCTTGTACAAGTTGAGATTAGTGCATGAGTGTTATAGCAGAACTAGTATATAGCATATACTTAGTTTAAATACATCTCTTCATTTATAATTTTCCATATTTGTAATTAAGAAATACCTGAGCAGAAATATATCCTGTGTATTCCATAATAGATGGAACACCAATAACGAGTCCAAAGCAGAGCAGGACAAGGTAGAATATTCTCATCTTAACATGTACATATTAATCATCTATGCATACATAATTATAATCTTCTAGTAATTTATGTTTGTTTATATATTAGATCATAACTCATGAACCCCATTCCCCGATTTGCCTAAAATTTGGACAAAAAAACTTTGTAAAACATGTAAAAATTCTAAGTTAAGGGAGTTGACTTTGAAGAAAGTTTAATATTTTAGAATTATTTTTTTATATTGAGTTAATAACAATATCACCTCTTTCTTGTAGAGTAGGAACTCCCACCATTTTAACTTTCTCCTTTCAATTTCATCCTCGAACCCTCTATTTTCAAAATATTTAGAAAAAACTAAAAACCTTCCAACATAAGATATGTCTGTGATTTTCATAAATGTTTTACTTTGACAAAAATATTTCTTGAATTCCTGGTGGTTAATTCATTTCTTAAATCATTACTGTTGAATTCCTCGTCAGCAGAAGACGAGTCTACCTCCTCCAGATAGGTGATTATCTTTTCCTGAACCAGTTCAACAATTAGAATCAGAAGGGACAAGATTTTATGAATATCGAGACGTAGCTGAGCCGCGCAGACGTAGTTCAGCTACTTCTCTCGTGCGTTAGTTTAAGCCATGCCTCGCTATCCATTAAATGTGTTCCCAGGAAAAACTCCTTTATCATAATTAGGTCCTTATTCAAGGCACAAAAAGAACGGTACGTTTCCAATCGCAATTTTGAACTTACAGCTCAAAGGAACTGAACGTTTTCCTTAAACTGTAATTTTCACATCCATACATGGCGTAGACCTATGATATTTTAAAAATTTTAATATTGCTGAAGTGGGATCTATCTTTTGTAAATCTTGGGATCAAGCATTAATCTCCAGCTTATGCAGGCCTACGGATTCATTGAATTCCTCTTCGATTGCCCGTGAAGGCTAGACCTGCAGACAAAAAACTATTTTATTTCTCTCAAATTTAAAAGTGTCCACATTGAATATCAAAATTCAATGGTTGAAATTATCAATACTCCGCACAAAAGTTCCATTATCAGGAAAAAAAACTTCTATTCGCAACGCATGCAGTGCAAAGGAACTGAACGCTTTTCCCCAAACTCAAATTTTTAAAAACCTTACATATTTGTAACGCTATGTCGAGAACCTTTGATATTTTAAACAATTAATTTTGCGGGGCAAATTTTCAAAATTGTCAAAATTTTAAAGATTTATAAAAACAGGTTGCAAAGTTTTATTGAAGTTGAGAAATTGAGTTTAGGGCAAGTGTCAATGGTTCCTTTTATTCTAATTATGTATTTAAATAGTAAAATATGGTTCCGGAACCAGATTAAGTGAATTGGAGAGAAGTTGCTGAAATACCCACCACCGGTTCAACCACTTCTCATAGTGCTCACGGAATCAAATTCTGAATCAGCGATTCAAAGTTTAAGTAAAAGATACGTGGTTAGACCGCTATATACATAGAACTCAACGACTACTCCATTTTTTATTTAACTCAAACGTTAAATTTTTATAATTAACCTCTTTTCTTCTTAACATTTTGTCCCGGTTCGTCCCATGCAGTGCCTAAATTGAACAATAACTATCAACTGTTTAAAGTTTATCTTCTATGACTTTAAAAGCTCTAATACTGCAGCACAGCTCTTATCAGCTAATTTATTATTGATTTTTATGTTTAAACAGCTACACATTCCAATCCTATGTAATTCACCAATTTTATCAATGTATTTTTTTTAGATCATTTAGCTCGTTATACATGGTTTCTTTGTTTAAACTTTATATGATAAAATTAGAATTAGCACCGGGAAATAAATTTTAAAAAACATTTACAGTGAAAAGAAATGTACGACATTTGACATTTCGTTGGATGTTATAACATTTTAGTGCAAATCATAAACTGAAAGAGTCCTAATCAAAAGGAATTGAGTCTTTGTCACAAACTTAAGTTTTCTAATCTCTATATCTTTGCAGCCAATAGTTGTAAACCTTAGCTGATTATTTGATCCATATTTTGAAAAGTCTAAGGTTTACGACATTGGTTTGCAATTTGCAAAGATATGCGAATAGGATTTATTTTTGTGACAATACGACATTGGTTTGCAATTTGCAAAGATATGCGAATAGGATTTATTTTTCTGACAATTTCTTTGTATTATCAACCATTTCTATTTCTATCTGACATGTTTAAAGAAGTTAGTATTAAATCGTTTTCAGAATCTAAAGTAATCTTCATCTGATCAAAATATTTAAAGAATTCTGGTGGTGTGGTGTGGGGGGGCTATAGGGGCTTAGCCCCCCCTCCCTAGCTCGGGATCAGAAAAATCTATGGTTTCAAGTATTTCAAGGGGGTACTAAGATCTCAAAGGATGCTGAGGTCTGAGCCCCCATCGGAACAAATTCCAGAGATGCTGAATGCTGAATGATTAATTTTCCACCGAGTATAACAATGTAAGAAGGTACTTAACTCTTACATCCATCTAAAAGTCTCTAATTCTTTAGCCCTTCAGAGACTAAGGGTGACAATGACATGACAAGTTTAGAAATAGATTGAAAGGAAAGAAGAAGAATTTAGCTAGGTTAGATTGAAAGGAAAAAAATATGAGCTAGGATAGATTAAAAGGAAAGAAGAAGAATATAAACTGGGATAGATTAAAAGGAAAGAAGAAGAATATAAACTGGGATAGATTAAAAGAAAAGAGGAAGAATATAAACTGGGATAGATTGAAAGAAAAGAAGAAGAATATAAACTGGGATTGAAAGAAAAGAGGAAGAATATAAACTGGGATAGATTAAAAGAAAAGAGGATAAACTGGGATAGATTAAAAGGAAAGAAGAAGAAAATAAACTGGGATAGATTGAAAGAAAAGAAGAAGAATGTAAACTGGGATAGATTGAAAAGAAAGAACAACAATATAAACTTGGATAGATTGAAAGGAAAAAAGAAGAAAATAAACTGGGATAGATTAAAAGAAAAGAAGAAGAATATAAACTGGGATAAATGAAAAGGAAAGAAGAAGAAAATAAACTGGGATAGATTGAAAGAAAAGAAGAAGAATATAAACTGGGATAGATTAAAAGGAAAGAAGAAGAATGTAAACTGGGATTGATTGAAAGAAAAGGAGAAGAATTTAAACTGGGATAGATTAAAAGGAAAAAAGAAGAATATAAACTGGAATAATTAAAAGGAAAGAAAAAGAATATAAACTGGGATAGATTAAAAGGAAAGAAGAAGAATATAAACTGGAATAATTAAAAGGAAAGAAAAAGAATACAAACTGGGATAGATTGAAAGGAAAGAAGAAGAATACAAACTGGGATAGATTGAAAGGAAAGGAAGATTATAAATTGGGAAAGATTGAAAGGAAATAAGCTGAGAACATAAACCGGGTTTTAAACCTGGATTAAAAGGAAAAAAGAAGAAACCAAAATGGTATTACCATTCATCCACTCCTTAATGTTGAAACTTCCCGTGAGATTTTGTAGATCTATTTCTTTAAATTTACAATTTTCTGAGATTTGTCGAAATAATCTTCAGTTTCGCCCTGAAAATTCCGTGTTAATTATCTTTTTTTTTAATCATAGAGAGTCCCCCCTTAGCACACCATTGGGCTCCGCTCCTTCCCCCTCAGCACGTAGTTTACAGGATTTACAGAAACGAGATGGTCGAGATGGTCTGCTCTTAGAGCTCTTACTTCCTAATAAAACCTTAAACCTTATTTCCTTAAATGAATTTAAGGAATTCTTTGTTGAGTTGGTTTCGTTGGTTGGATGTCGAATCTGTAAGTTGGTTTCTAGCGAGACTCCGCTGCGTTGTAATCAATTATTTGATTCATGATTCATCTTAAATATACTAAACCGGATACTTAAGAGGATGTGATTAAGGTTAAGAAATCTTAATGGATTTGGGGTCGAACGAAAGGCTTTTATTGACAAATCTACACGTTAAATATATCGTTCAAATCGTGAAGAAATAGTATACTCTTATTTCAGAATTTACTGATAAATTTATGATTTATAAATGAGAAGTTAAGATTTGTCCTCTGCTGATTATATGATGGACCCTGAGGATCAGGACCAAGAAAGAACCGAAATCTTGTCTGCTCCGTCTGAGAAGGAGTAAGTCCCTCGATTTAATTACATATGATTGTTTCTATAATTTTATTACTGTTTAGAGATTTATAATTTTTGTCAAGTTGGTTCTATCTGCAGATGAGGTTTGTGGGCGTGCTTCTAAAACTAATAGATCCCTTTAACTAAAATATATTTTATAACTAGTGTTCTTTGTTATCCGATTTCTGTCCTTGAAAACGCGTTTTGTTACTCAAATTGAGTAAATTTGTCATTTCATACATAGTAAAATTTGACACTCCACTGAAGAGAATCACTCCAGAGTATAGAGTTAGTTACTCCATAGTAGAACTAGTTACTCAATAGTAGAATTAGTTACTCTATAGTAGAGTTAGTTACTCAATAGTAGAGGTTACTCAATAGTAGAGTTAGTTACTGGTATATTCCTAGAGAACGATTTTTGGACCCCCCGCCCCCCCCCTCCTATCAATTTTGTACATGGGTCTGACAGGAAGTGTCTTAACTTNTACTCAATAGTAGAGTTAGTTACTCAATAGTAGAGTTAGTTACTCCATTGTGTTAGATATACTCAATAGTAAAGTTAGTTACTTAATAGTAGAGTTAGTTACTTAATAGGAGAGTTAGTTACTCAATAGTAGAGTTAGTTACTCCATTGCGTTAGATACGGTGTCACTAGGAAGCTGGATAGCATTCAACACCAGGTAGCACGGTTTATTCTACAACTACCAAGTTCATCATCCAAGGTAGCTGGGTACATGGATGCGGGGTTTAAACCAATGCGGGACAGGATAAAGGAGCGAGTAGCTGTGTATGTGTGGGAAATCATGCATAAAAAACGAGATCCTATTCTGTCTAGTACATTCGACGCGGTGATCGGAGCACGTGACGACCCGTGGGCGAGAATGGTTGGGGAACTGGTTGCTGAGTTGGGACTCGATGTGTTTGAGGGTCCTAAATCTAGGCTGAAGAAGAGACTTACCGAAACAATGATAAACGGGGTCCTGGAGCAGAAAAGACAGTTGGTGTCCCTCAACTGTATGCCCACCCCTCGAGTATGGTTCAAGCTCCAGCCGCATGTGTGTGATAGCACTGTAGGGGGTGTTTTGAACAGACTGAGAGCCGGGGATGCAGGGCTTGGTAATCGTCGCCCAAACATCCATGGCTCCAGCACCAAGTGGTGTCCGCTATGCCTAAATAAAGGGATAGTTAACCGCCTTTCGGAACATCATGTTGTTGTATCCTGCCAGGCAGTAGCCTATGAGAGGTCTGCCACAGGTCTAGGAGCCCTTATGATAGGGAGGTCTCAGAGCAGTAGGGCAACCCTTATGGGGATATTAGGGGGAGATAATGTTTCAAAAGAAGTGCTTCTTAAGAGGACCGCCAAGATAAGCTTACTATTGGATCGGTGGATGGATTTGGCAGGAGCAACATAAATGCGGGTAACCTCTTTTCTTCGCCTAAAGGGTTGTTTGATACCAACCGTCCAATGGAGTTAATTGACGAGCCACTGGCTGGAATGTATCAACTTTTTATCTTATGACAATGGAATAATTGTTGAGGGTATAAAGGTCCAGTTAGAGTAGGTGTGGGACAGTGCTTCCCGTGCCTGCCGGCGGTCTGGGGGGTTCATAACGGGACCTCTTGTTCAGTTTTTTTTTCAAATATACATTCAAATATACTCCATAGTAGAGTTAGGTACTCAATTGGAGAGTTAGTTACTCAATAGTAAAGTTAGTTACTCAATAGTAGAGTTAGTTACTCCATTGTGTTAGATATACTCAATAGTAAAGTTAGTTACTTAATAGTAGAGTTAGTTACTTAATAGGAGAGTTAGTTACTCAATAGTAGAGTTAGTTACTCCATTGCGTTAGATACTCAATAGTAAAGTTAGTTACTCAATAGTAGAGTTACCTCAATAGTAGAGTTAGGTACTCAAAAGTAGAGTTAGGTACTCAAAAGTAGAGTTAGTTACTCCATAGTAGAGTTAGAGCAGATGTTACTACTTGTTGGCTCCTTAATAACTTCATATTAGAGTAGGTCCATCCGAAGTAGAGTTGGGCATTTCATAGTAAATACTAAATTGTGTCACTTTATAGTAAATTTTGTCATTTCATAATGAATTTTGTCATTTAATAGTAAATTTTATCATTTCATAAGTAAATTATATCACTTCACAGTAAATTTTGTCATTTCATCGTGAATTTTGTCATTTCATAGTGAATTTTGTCCTTTCATGGTAAATTTTGTCATTTCTTAGTAAATTTTGTCATTTCATAGTAGAGTTTGTCATTTCATAGTAGAGTTTGTCACTCAATAGTGTAGAGTTTGTTGTCCTAGTAAACATAAAATACCTTGTTGAGTGAACACCCCATCTACAATTAAACGTTGTGAAATTAATTCTTTATTTGATTTAATCTGGAGTTAATAATTAATCTTAAGATCCATTTTTTTGTGTGCCCACTAACTTAGTAAATTGATACTGAACTGAGAATGATGAACAGTATAGAATGAATTAATGATTCATTGATCTGTCCTGTGTATTGTATAAGATTTTGTATTTTTTTCTGATGAAATAATTAAAACTTTCAATATTGATCCAAAATTAGAAAAGACTTATATTTTAATAACTTTAACTCGTTGCTTTTAACCATACATCATTGATTTTCACAGACCTGGATCCAGGAAGCCAAAAAAATGCGATTTAAAATCCTTTAAGGATATTTCTATACTGTTTCCATGACTAGGTGGTACCATGGACGACTGGACAGATTTCAGTCGGAGGAACGTCTCCGACTCACGGAGAAGCACGGGAGTTATTTAGTTCGGGAGAGCGACCGTAAACCAGGATCATACGTCCTCTCATATTTCGGCCAGACTGGAATAAACCATTTCCGGTGAGAATTTTACCTTAAGGATGGGGTTAACAGAGATGAGGCCGAGGGTCTATGTTATTTCTAACTGTCATATTTTCTAGTATCCTCAAAATATTTGTTACATCTACCTTTGTAGAGAGGGGGAGGGGGGGGGGGGTTGGCTAAAAAGTACTCCTAATGTTTCACCAATGAAGTTTTAGCTCATTAGTTGAACTTATTTCAGAGTTACCGCTGTATGTGGAGATTTCTATATTGGAGGTCGGCAGTTCGATTCTCTTCAAGACCTCATTGGATACTATACTCATATATCTGATCTTCTTAAACATGAACGGTAGAGTAACATAGGATACTATGCTCATATAATTGATCTTCTTAAACATGAACGGTAGAGTAACATAGGATACTATACTCATATATCTGATCTTCTTAAACATGAACGGTAGAGTAACATTGGATACTTTACTCTTATATCTGATCTTTTTAAGCATGAACGGTAGAGTAACAAAGGATACTATACTCTTATATTTGATCTTTTTAAACATGAACGGTAGAGTAACATAGGATACTATGCTCTTATAATTGATCCTCTTAAACATGAACTGTAGAGTAACATAGGATACTATAATTGATCCTCTTAAACATGAACGGTAGAGTAACATAGGATGCTATGCTCTTATAATTGATCCTCTTAAACATGAACAGTAGAGTAACATAGGATACTATGCTCTTATAATTGATCCTCTTAAACATGAACTGCAGAGTAACATAGGATGCTATGCTCTTATAATTGATCCTCTTAAACATGAACAGTAGAGTAACATAGGATACTATGCTCTTATAATTGATCCTCTGAAACATGAAAATAAAATAAAATTTGTCTTCTCGTGGAATAAGAATTTCTTGATCTTTTTTCCTCACCCAATAACAGTGAACCATATATCCTTGTCTAGACTTCAGCACCCTGTCCCCCCTCCTGAACCTGTCAATGATAAGAAGAGAATGGTTGCTATACTACCCTACACAAAGATGCCTGATACCGATGAAATTACATTCCAAAAAGGTATTTTAGTAAAATTTGCTTCAAAACGACAAAAATAACATTTTTAAAATATGCGGTGTCGTGCGATATTAAAGGATCCTTGATATTGATGAGCATTTTTTAAAGTTAAAAACAATTGGCGGTATCCTTTCAAAAAGAAAGTTAACAAGAAAAATTTTAAATAAATTTAAATTATTTTTTGTTTATAATAAGTTATTCTTTAAAGTGCTGGGACGGAAGGTAGTGAAAAATATTTTGAAATGCTTAATAGTTCAGAGCTGAAAACTTTAGAATGGTGGATATCGGGATTAAGGCTAAATCCAATCTTTTTCTTAATCTCGAGATTAAATATTGCTTGTTCTCCTCTCATTTTTAATCTCCAGATTAATTATCCGATCAGGATTAAGGATATCCCATTCTAAAGTTTTTAGCTCAGATGAATTTTTGATGAACTTGAATTTTTTAGGCGATATATTCTTCGTACACAACGACCTCGGCGATGGCTGGCTATGGGTTACAGGTCACAGAACTGGAGAGCAGGGTCTAGTATTTAAGGTAAAGTTATTATATTTTTGTTTGACCGGAATCATTTAAACATAGTTGAACTGCTTTTGAAATTGAACCGGCGCTCAAGAGAAGTGGTTCAACTTAGTCTAAGTAGTTCAAGTACAAACTTTGCTCCTCACAATCCTCTTTTTTATAAGAACGAAGCTGTAGATCTACTAGTTAGAGCAGGTAAGAACCTTACTAAAAATCGACTCAATACAGTAAATATTATAATTTGTACGATTTCCATTGTAACATTTCATAGAACTAATAAACTCCTGTTCAAGGACCTGGAAGTTTCTTGGTTCGTCCCAGTGATAATTCACCAGGAGATTATTCTCTCTTTTTCCATATAAATAATCAGGTTAGTGAGCAAGAATTAATATTTATTAACTAACTGATTTCTTGGGAATCTTCAAAACATAATTATTTTTTTAGATCCAGAGATTTCGAATAGAAAAGAAAGGAGTCAAGTATGTAATGGGAGGAAGGACATTCGATTGTCTCAATGCTGTGATTGACAGGTTTTTTTTATTTTTGTTTATTTTATTAATTAATCAATAATCATAAAGGATCTTATTTCCACAACCTCTACTTTTAGAGGTTTTAAAATTTTTTCGCCTGAAACACTTAATTTTGTATGTTTATGTTTATTTCATAAATAAATAATTTTTTACTTACTTTACAACGTAGAACCGCCTTTCTGCCTGAAGTTTTTAGTTACAGTCTATAATACTATGCAACATGACGATGAGCATTTCGGATATCTTGCCAGATCTAACGTTGTATTTTTTCATAAATAGTGATTGATTGCCGGATGCATGAATACCGGAAGAAATACAAATTCGCTAGCATTAAATCATAAGTGTAACCCTCCTTCAACCTAAAGAACACGTATTTATAATACTTAGAAGACAATATTAAGGTTAAACTGAATGTTTTCAGGTACAAGACTGAGCAGATAGTTGAAGGATTTACTCTCGGCCACCATGTTAAAAAACAGAGCTGTGAAGACGACGGAAGTTTTCCAACTCGTCAGGAGGAACCGGAGGAGAGCGCGGCTGAGAAAATTTACGCAAGTTTACGCGAATGTCGTGAACAAGCCGATCCCAAGCGTCAGAAAGGCGTAAAAATGCAAGGATTCCTTAATAAGAAGAAGGAACAGAAAGAAAAGTGGAAATCTCAATATTTTGTTCTAAAACAGGAAGGATCAGATTGCCATATGTACATCTACGAACATCCCAAACGAACCAAGCCTAAAGGATTAATAGACCTGTCCTGTGCCTATATGTATATGGTTCATGAATCCCTGTTTGATAAACGAAATGTGTTCCAGCTGGTGGAGCGAGCTCTACCATGTCTTGCAACAACTACATACCTCTCAGCAGAGACAGCCTCGGAGCTGGAGGATTGGTTTACAGCCATCAAACCTCTCTGTGTCCCCCAAATGGTTCGTTCTCCCAAGGTTGCCAAACTCCGTGAGGTTCGAACCCTCTTCTTATCTATCTCCGAGGCTCATAGGCTGCCCTTGAAACTTGTTCCAAACCCTTACTGTGTAATATCTTTCAATCAAGTAAGTTGTATTGCATTACACATGTCAAGATGATTATAAAAAAAGCACTATTTGTCATTTAATTTTGGTCTGAAAATGGAGGATTGTTGGATCGGTTTAGTTTTTCAACCGTACTAAGGGTAATCTCAAATTTTCGATAAGCAAAGAATATGAGAAAAAAATGACAATTCTCAAAAATAATTAAAACAATATTATTTTTTTTGATACCGTAAAATCTAACTATATTTTGAAGATCCCTCTAAATCTAATTTAAAACTTGGTAAATAAAGACTGTTTGTCAATGTAAACTGTGGATAATGAAGTGTGTGTTTAGGTAAGGATTGCGAAGACGAAGGTGAAACTAGGTCCTGACCCTGTATTTGACGAAGAGTTTGAACTCGACGATATTCCTCCTGATGTATTCACTGTTACAGTCACAGTTTTTAATAAGGTAAACTTTATTAGAGTTTTAAACTGTACATGTTATGCAATTGTACCAGATACAGTCTGTACAGTCTGTATAGGGGGGGGGGGCTTTCAGATCTAATCTCTTAATTCCTAATACCTAGAAATATACAGGTTGTCCAAAAAATAATGAGAAAGGCTATTGGAGAACTTTTCTGCATTAATAAGTCTAAACTTTAGTTCTCAGCATAACAGCTTGACAAGTTTTTTTCTTCTCTTCTCAATTTACAATATTAAAACCCTTAGAATGTTTATTGTACAATTAAATATTTCACAATAAAGGAATTGAGTCCTTGACACAAATTAAGATGTTCCTTTCCCGATATCTTCGCAGCCCAATATTCAACCTTGTCTAACTATGAATTCTGTTGGCTCAAATGATTTAAGTTTGAAATATGAAATTTTCATTTTATCAAGTTTCAAATATATAGGGATCAGAAAATGTTAGTTTGTGGCAAATACTCAATTTCTTTTAGAAATTTCCTTATTTTCTCGAGCTAAGGACAGGATCTAGAGTAGTAAATGATTCATCTATTGATTTGATTATTCTGTAACTCATTGTGTGCTTAACCCCGTAGAAGGTCTAGGTCTCCCATAGTGGGACTTTCAAATTAAGCCTCTTATTTCTTATTTCTTTTTGATCTGATTGAAGAAACTCATAATTGTGGAATGTTTAGGCTAAACGAGGGAAGGATACCGAGGTAGCAGAGCTGATCCTTGAGTTGAGTAATGTCCGTAACAGTGAGGATATAGAGGATTGGTTCTCTCTCAGTGGTGTAACTCCTATAGGAGAGTGGGGAACTATTAGACTCAGGACCAGATATCTTCATGATCTCATTATGCCACAGGTATCTATCTATCTATCCATCTATCGAGGTAGAACGTTATTTATGATATTGGTATGTTTTCAAGCAATGCTTCCGGATCCGGCTCTTTGGATCCTGATTCTACAAAAACTTGTGTGTCTGTAAAATATAAATAGGAATAACTGATGGGAAATTATTTCTATTTTTTTTAAAGGAAACTCGTGAAAGTCAAAAATGTATTCGTGCCTGATCTAATTTAACAAAATGGTTCCCGGTTTCGAATCCCCACCAAAAAGAACTTCAAATGAATGTATTTTGCTAATATGCTTATTAAAGAATTAAAAAATTGGAATATTTACGAATTTCTCCTTATGGTGAAGAATTTCAAGAAATGACACCAAAGCTGAAAACTTTAGAATAGGATATCCTTAATCCCGATTTGATAATTAATCTGGAGATTATATCATGGGGAGAACAAGCAATATTTAATCTGAAGATTAAGAAAAAGAGTGGATCAAGCATTAATCCCGATATCCACCATTCTAAAGTTCCCAGAGCAGAGCTGAAAACTTAAGATTGTGATATCCTTAATCCCGATTGGTTAATTAATCTTGAGATTAATGATAGAAGGAGAACAGGCATTATTTAATCTTGAGATTAAGAAAAAGAGTGGATCAAGCATTAATCCCGATATACACCATTAAAAAGTTCCCAGCTCCGAAGTATTTTTATAGAAGAATTGGTTCAATATGTATTTCGAGGCACTAATTATATAATATTGTAGGACGAATATTCTCCGTTGAAGGAATTGATCCTGAATCCTCTGCTGGAGGTTGTTGTTTCCCTCGCAGATATTTGTCACACAGATCGTCTTCCTCTAGCTTCTTCTCTTCTTAGAATATTCAGGTTCACTATTTCTTACTAATACTGCATTTTTATAATGGGATGCTCAGGGGGGGGGGCAAGAGGGTTATTGCCCCACCCCCATGGATACGCTTCATTATAATAACTTTCTTTATTTCAAAACACTATATTTGGTTCTAGAGATACAAAAATGTATACAGTAATCTCTTATTTTAATTTAAAATTCCACAGCAGCGTGGCCTAGCTTTTAGTTTCAACAGATTGAGAGACGACACACAATATTGTGTCAGATTTTTCGTCGAAAATTACCAAAAAGACGAGATTCCTACTGCAGTTGACACAGCTTTTCGCCCTGTAACGGTGGTCTGGGAATTCCATTTTGGGGTTCTTATATTTGAAGAAAATAATATTAATAATTTCTTTTTTTTTCTTTTTCTTTTAAAATACACCTTTTTTCTTCAATAATTTTCTGTCCTTATGTTGTTTTGTTTATTAATCTTAACCTTTAAAAAGAGATGTTGTTACGATCGAATCTCGGAATTCTTCTATTGCGATAGTTTGGTGTTGTAGGGGTTTTGTATTGATCTGCCATGGGTTGTAATCTGGCAGCACATTCATCCGTTCACGGTTAATTAATTCTGAGAAGAGGGCTGACAAGATTCCAGCTGCCTAAGGGCAGACCTGAGAATTGTAGTGCAGGAATTCTTCTGATATACTGGAATGAGGCCCGTGTGCCTTACAGATAGGAAACACCACACTCGTTGCTCCCAATCATTTTTAAGCCCGGATTGGATACCTCCAGGTACCTATAGCTGGCAATTCATTTCAAGCTTCTTTCTTGTTGAGTAGAAAGCATGAACCCTTTCGCTGCAAGAGATGTTGACAGCCGCCCCTCTGTCCTCCTACATCCGTCATAACTGCTTACTGCTTAGTCAGATGTTGGTTTCAGATGATTTTGAAACCAAAGGTTTGTAAGGAGTGCGGGAATCGAACCCGTAAAAACCAGTCTGGATACCAATCCAGTTACTGGCTGTGGACAAGTGTGCTTAACTCAAGTGATCTAGAGAGAACTGGTGTCACATACTAGCCACCCCACCCCAAAAGATCTTAACCTTAACGAAACAAAAAGTAGCATTTAATTTTGTTTAAGGAAGCAAAACTTAAAAAAAACTATAATTGATAATTTTCAGTTTGTGGTCTTTCTCATTATGTTACAAAACTTATTAGTTAAAGAAAATAATTTCTTAGGTTTGAGAAGAAGGAGGCTGACCTCCTGGCCTCGCTTAGTCAGCTCGAGATTGAGAGGGAAGAGGAAACTTCAACTTTATTCCGAGGAGCCAGCCTCACAACAACACTCATGGATCTGTACATGAAATCCGTCTGCCAGGACTTCTTACATACAGCACTCTTCCCTACTATTCATAGGTAGGTGTCTACTTCATGCTAAATCTTCCCTACTATTCATAGGTAGGTACCTGCTTAGTCTTCCCTACCATTCATAGGTAGCTAATTATAAGTAGCACTCCTCCCTACCATTCATAGATATCTACTTAGTTGTAGCCCTCTTCCGTACTATAAATAATAGGTACCTACTTAGTTAAGCAGTAAGCACTCTTCCCCATTATTAATAGGTACCAATTTAGTACAGGAGAAGAAAGTTCCAAACCGTGATTTGGCCCAGACCTAATTCTGAGTGTCAGATTTTGCCAATCATGGGAGTATATTCTTAATTTATAATTAATTTTGGGGGGAAAAAAATTTCTGTTTTTTTTCATGTCATTTTGCACAACTTACCTTGATAGTTATCTTTAATTTACTGTCAAGTAGTAACCAAGGGCAAGAATATGTCATTCTCATTTTTTCTCTTTTCTCTTTTTTCCTTTTTTTTCTTTATTTTATTCTTTCTTTTTTCTCCATTTTTTCTTGAATTTAGAATATACTCTTCTTCTTGAAGTAAGAATATACTCCCCTGCCAAATGTGCAAAGATATATTTTTTAACTGTTTATATTTTTCAATTTAAGTCGAGAAGTAAAAAAACCGCTTCCGTACTCTGTTTATAATTTGAAAAATTTATCTTTATTTATAATTAAATAATATTTTTAGAATTCTTGAAACCCGACAGAGTTGTGAATTGAACCCCAGCAAGATAGAATCACCAAATGAAGCTTGCGCTAACGCGGAATTTTTACTACAGGTTCGTTGGATTTAGATTAGAAGGCGTTTTACGGGAGCTAGGATATATTTAGTCAACTTTAATTTACATACTTACCATGTAACACAGTTTTATCAATCTTTTTCATCTAAAATGATCCCTGCTTTACAATATATTGAATTGATTTCCTGTAAAACAAATTAAATGATGTAAAAAATCATTTTTTTGGGGGGGGGGGGGATATTAAATTAAATATCATAATGTATTTTATATTGTACCAATTAAAAATTATTGAAGGTGTTGGATGATATCACTGAATCAATCTTCATGTCTTCAGAAGCTTGCCCAAGAACCCTCAGGTATAATAAGAACTTTGTCCATGAATGTTATGATCAAGATCAAGCTCAAGGCATAGGCCAAGACTCAAGATCAAGTTTAAGATTAGATTAAAATAAAGATAAAGTTTTTATCTAAGAGAGGAGTGTGAAACCCGCTGAATTTTTAGATTTTATATAAAGATATATTATTATTTTCTAGGTATATCTGCCACTGTCTTCAGAGAGATGTGCAGGCAAGATGGCCGAATGAAAGATTGGTGAAGACCAGAGTTGTTTCAGGCTTTATCTTCCTTCGTTTACTCTGTCCTGCCATCCTTAATCCTAGACAGTTCGGCCTTCTTTCAGGTTTCTTTCAGTTTTATACTTTCTTTAAGTTCACGTCATTCCAGGGTGTAATATTATATATACAGTACCCAACATTTGAATTGGCCGGTGTCTGAAATAAATGAGTGTAAATGTATAAATTGTAATGATATATTTTTTAAAACACATAAATACAATATGCAATAGGACAAGTATCTAGCCATTCCTCTATTTGTCCTGATAATCTCCAGGATCCTCCTTGGCATGCTCTGGGCCAGGTTTTTTCAGGTCAGGTCCCATCACCTGAAGGGTGTTGAAAAAAAGAACACAATTTTTTCTATCAAAGGATTAATTATCACCCGATCATAATAAAATTGATATCACAGTGACTCTAGGATGTCAGGACTACTAGGTTAACAAATTATTAGATTTGGTCAATCCTGCTCTGAATGTTCAGTTTACCCACAAATGATGGAAAATCGTGAAAAATGGTGTACCTCCGCGTCATACTGAACAGTTAAACTGCTGATTTGTTGATATTGTGTCAATGAATTTAATATTGCATACTTAACAGTAAAACTTATTTGGAAGGCCTGTGTTTATTGAATGTCAAGAGTAAGTTGTTTTATTAAAATTAGATCATGACCGTTCTAATAATCTGAATTCATTGATAAATAACTGATCATAATTTCAGATCCTGTCCCCCCGGCAGCTATGCGATCATTTGTGATGATCGCGAAGTGTCTGCAGAACCTGGCAAATCTAGTGGAGTTTGGGGGGAAGGAAACCTACATGGAGGTCGTCAATCCCTTCATCCTCAAGAATAAGGAGAGGATGGTCGTCTTCCTTGATCATCTTTCGGTATGTTAACAATTTTTAAAAGTCAAATTTTTTATGATTTGTAATTTTTTTTTTCCCGAACGTCACTACTTAAATGATTGTCATTCAGCAATATCCAAAAACTCTGACCTCCATGCAAAGATGACAAATCACGATTTACAACGGTACCATTAAAAGCTTTTTCTGATCAAGCATTAATTAGATAATAGATATGCAGGATTTTTTAAATTTAAACTTTATTTTCATTTGTTGTTTCTCTGCAAAAGTCATTTGCCCCTTTAAAATAATTAACCAGAAAAAACTACTTTGCAAGATAGAAAAATGAAGTTATCTTACACATTTTTGATCAGATGAGGGTTTTAAAGTACCGTTGTAAAACGGGCATTTCCATCTTTGAAGGGATGGTCACTTAAAATTACGCTTACAGTCTGAATAGTTTTCTTGATTGTAGAGTGTTCGTGAGCGTCCCTACCCTGACGAGGATAGAGTAAAGGGAGACCCTGCACGTGATCTAGCAACAGTTCATCATGTTTGTGAAAATCATCTTTCTGAACTAGTGGATATCAGTAAAGAGATGAACAGCATAAAGGTAAATTTTCTTTTATTGTAGTATTATTTAACTTCAATAAGTTATTAATTTCGAGACCCAATAACGAGAATCCATTACAAGATATATTCAAGGCCTCTCTCTTTATATCTAATTTAGTATAGTTACTTTATATTTGTGGGAGTGGGAGAATGCTTCTTTACCCTAAAAGAACGCCAGACGTTTTTTCAAGCTACTTTCCGGTGTCCGCTCATAGACTAACATATCCGATTTAAAACACTACCATTAAAAACATCGTTTTAAACTTTTCTTTATAAATAACTTGTGGATTTTTTCTACATAAAAAACGGAGATAATTATCAGGAAAACTACAAATAATAATAATCCTACAACCTTTGAAATATTCGAATTCTATGTGTAGACATTGGTAACTGTGACCGAGATGTTGAGTAAACACAAGCAGAAGTATACCGAGATGCTCGGCAGCTAGCATACCGCGGCGCCCCTCCCAGCCGGGGGGCGCCGCGTAGACACCCTCGCCTGGGATCAGGGGGAAGCATCAGCTGTACCGGGTATCGCAAGGTATGTAAAGTTTGACAACAAAAACCGATAAAAATTAAGATTTCTAATCGACAATTTTCTTGTCTCCTGATTAACAATAAGCTGTAAATTTTATGCAAATCAATTAATCGTTATTATTAAATTCATCAGATCTATTATTCTGCAGAGGAGACGAGCTTTCAACTGTATGGCAGCAGTGGCCGCAGTCCAACGATTTGGATCTTCTCTTCTGTGCTCGGGAGCATCATTGATAGCTTCAATCAATATTTCAGCGCTTTTCAAAATATCTCGTTCATTAGTTTCTGTGCCAAGCGCATCATGAACGATGCTGTGTGCTCGTAAAGATGCTTTAAACTAAAGGAGAAAAACTTTTATCTAGTTAATCTTCTTGGTAAGTATATACAAATACATGCATGTATATATTCGTTATTTAAAGGAATCTACTCAAAATTTCATCTCTCGCAGAACAGCGCTAAAACAAAATTTTGAAAATCACTTTAAAATGAAGGATCGGTATTTTTATGATGCCAATCCAGTTGGTGGAGGAGGTTGAGGATTCCTTTTTGAGTTAAAATTTTTACCCAATGCTTTTATAAGTCCAGTGAACATTTTTAAACAAGCAAATTGCATGCTTGCTTTGTAACTGCAGATAAACATTTATCATTTCTGATGAATTTTTGTACAAAATATACTTGCCTACAACTAGTACTAACCTCATTAAACTTGAAAATTAATCCTGAATTAGACTAGAATGGTTCTAAGTAGCTATAATTCCTGAATCCATTAATAACAATATATTGCTGTACCAAATTATATTCTTCGATACATTTCATAGAATCCAAATTTTCTCTTGTCCAACAGTTTGAAACACTTTCTCTCTTTGCAATGTAATTTCTAGTCTCATGACATTTATAATAATGCAATAGATGCAACAGGAGGATCGTTTAGGGACAACAGGTTCAACGATCGTCTGGATAAAACAGGGGCGATGGGAAGGTTTTCCTAGATACTACAGGGGCAAAGGGGAGGTTTGTCTAGAGGCAGCATGGGCGAAGGGAACGTTTTCTTAGATGCAACAGTGGCGGAGGGAAGGATTTTCTAGATGTAACATGGGCGATGGGAAGGTTTGTCTAGAAGCTACAGGGGCGATGGGGAGGATAGTTGCGAATTTAATCCAATTTCAACAAAAAGCCAAAAACTGCGATATCCATGAAGGCCCTGGAAATGTATATGGTGTAGAAACTTGTAACCTTGTTATTATGCTTCTGTTAGATCTTTAATATGTAAATAATAATAAGATGCTTTGTGATGTTTAATTATATTTAATTTAATATAATTTTTGCCATCTCCTCTTTAATTAAAAAAATACAGTCAGGTTTTTGGAGCAAAAACTTTAACCTTTATTAATCATCAAGAAATATTTGATCTTGAATCAGATTTATTGAGTAGGAAAAGTAGCTGAGCTACGTCGATTAAATTGAACCACTTCTCTTCGGCTTGACCCAGTGCACATGAGAACTGGTTGAACCGGCTGTAAGTGGTTCAACTTCTAGTCCCAGGAAGTTTTTAAGGTTAAGGTGTATTATATAGTTAACAATCCTTCCACAGATATTGTAAAAAATGTGTAACTGAGCCAGATCTTTAGTCTAAACCTTTTGCAAACTGCAATACACTTTCTGTGTACAGAAATCTTTCCCGAGTCTAAAACTAAAGAACGAAAAGTTTGACTTAAATTTTAAGTTCATGGTTAAATGCCACTTTTGACTTAATTTAAACCTGAACTTTAACCGTGAGGTTAAATATCTAATCCTGTGGTTAAATATTTAACTCGCCGAAATCGACGAGTTAAAATTTGAACACAGAGTTAAAATCTTGAAATCCCGCATTCCCTATTTGCATATCATCATTCAGCGGTAAGCGGCATTCAACTAATTACAATATATTCAAAAGTAAAAACCTTGATTTAATAAATTTCACGTTTTAGATTAATTAATGTTTGCACGTAAGTAATTAAAAATTTTAAAATCAGCTGATTACCAATAGTTATGTTATAATTCTTTTCTCTGATATGGTTCAGATTTTCCCGGGAAAGTCAAATTTAAATTTGAGAAAGTTTAATATTTAAGTAGCTACTCATTATTTTGCAGAACTTTTAACCTCGAACTTAAAATTCGCGCATTCTTTAGTTTTAGACTCCGATTTGAATATTTGTTGAAAAAGCTAACTTTGTAATAATTTAATTAACAGTAAGTTAAAAAGCAACTTAAAAGTTGATAAGTCGTTGCTAAAATACTTAATGAATGCTTTTTTAAATCATGCGACTATTGTACAACTCTGTTTACATTTTCCAACTGTACCAACCATTAGTACGTAAAACTGTATTTTCTTTTCTCAGCTTAACTATGTTGTGTGAGGGAGGGGAGGGAGGGAACCCCCATACGCCATGAGCCTCTGCCATGCAGACACGAGCCTCTCAGATTTGCTAGGCAGACCGAGCCTCCACTATGCAGACCGTTCTCCGCTTTGCAGTAATCGAGCCTCCACCATACAGCACATTTTTTCAATCTTTGTTTTTATGTGAAATGAAAATCTTTAACAATTTTTTGACGTAGTGGAATAAGAATTTTATTAAAGATTAGAGTTATTTTTTGATTGTCATGATCAGAAACATATATGGACTAATTAAGTGGTCTATAAGACTTATACTAAAACTTTAAACATTTCTTACGCAAAAGGGAAGATATTTGGTGGATACATATTTCTGGAGTGAACTTAATTTGTTTTGTTGTAATCTTTGATTTTAACAATACCTATTTTTGAAAAATGTTAAGATTTAAATACATGATACAAATTTTTTAGATTTAATTTGAACTACAAAAAAGGTATTGCTTAAATCATAGGTTATAAAAGATGAAATGAAATTAAATTTTTTTTTCTCTAATTAGCTTCCTTCTCATGTAAAAAAAATGTTTAAAATTTTACATACCATTTTATTAGTCATAATTAGGCACTATTTATGATAATTGATAAATACTTCTCATCTTTGAGAAACCTCTCATGCCACTATGTAGGAAAAATAAAAAAAAATTCTATTTTAACTTAACACATAAGTTTAAAAACCTCTTGTAATTAAACAGGCACATTATATTGTATTGCGCATGCTCATTTCTGCATAGCGGAGGCTCGGTCTGCCTAGCAAATCTGGAAGGCTTGTGTCTGCATAGTGTAGGATCATGGCGTGCAGGGGTTCCCTCCCTCGTATCTTGTAAAAAAAGCTCCAGAAGTTTCATCCAAACTCCAAATCTAACCATCATGAATTAGTCTAGAGAGTATTGTGCCTTTTTTAGAACATTTTTGTTTTTGTTTAAATGAACTATTTTCTCTGTACAGTGAACCTTCAAGTTTTTTTTTATCTTCAGAGATTTCTAATTTTAACATTCGTTAGTTAAGTTATTTAATAAATTGATACTTATAAGAGAAATATTGTTTATTAATAGGAATTTGTTTAACATTAAGTTTAGAATTTAAACCATAGCTCAGAAATCAAGTTGTCGCATTAGGTGCTGAGAAACCAAGTTTCGAATTCAGAATATGGCTGAAAGAATAATAAGATTGGTTTCAGATAAAAACCAAGGTTCGTTACCGAGAAACTTGAAGTGGGTTCAGGAATGGTTTACGAGAAAATAATTTTCCAAGAATATTTAGGTTGGATTTAAAATAACCAAGGTTTGTTTTCATAGGTTAAGGGAAACTTGGTCTGGGGTGAAAGGAATACAAATAAATTAATTGAGTCTGCAGTGAACACTGATTTTCAAATCCCTTTATCTTTGCAACTCAATGTCGTAGACCTTAGATATTTTAAATAATCAAAGTTGGAAATACCAAAGTTTTATACCAACAGTTTGCAAAGATATGTGGATTAGAAAATTTCAATTTGTGTCAAAAAATCAATTCCGGACCCAGAAAGCCACTAGAGGAAATATGAATTGAAGCTGAAACACTAAGTTTGGTTCAGAAATACTCAGATTAGTTTTCAAGGAACAAGGGCTTAGAGATGGAAAATAATGGTTAGGTAAAAAAAAGTTATTTAGAAAAAGCTTCAACAAGTGGTTTTTGCTGAGAAGCCAAGGTTGAGTTTTAGTAAAACCGGAGTTAGAGAAAAAGAGTTGGCGGTGAGCAGACAAATTTTGTTTGGGATAAACTGGATTTAGTTTCATGGGAACTTAGGTTCAGAGAAGCAAGGTTTCTGAAGCTGAGAAGCCAAGTTTGCGTTAAGAGAAACAAGGTTTGGAAGCTGATAAACCAAGTTTATGTTCAGAGAAACAAGGTTTTGAAGCTGAGAAGCCAAGTTTGCGTTCAGAGAAAGAAGGTTTGGAAGCTGAGAAGCCAAGTTAATGTTCAGAGTTTGGAAGCTGAGAAGCCAAGTTTATGTTCAGAGAAACAAGGTTTTGAAGCTGACAAGCCAAGTTTGCGTTAAGAGAAACAAGGTTTGGATGCTAAGAAGCAAAGTTTAAGTTCAGAGTTTGTGAGCTGAGGAGCAAACAGAGTTTGGGAGCTGAGAAGTCAGGTTTGCTTTCAGAGAAACAAGGTTTGGAAGCTGAGAAGCCAAGTTTATGTTCAGAGAAACAAGGTTTGAAAGCTGAGAAGCCAAGTTTATGTTCAGAGTTTGGGAGTTGAAAAGCCAACAGAGTTTGGGAGCTGAGAAGCCAAGTTTGCGTTAAGAGAAACAAGGTTTGGAAGCTGAGAAGCCAAGTTTATTTTCAGAGTTTGGGAGTTAAAAAGCAAACAGAGTTTGGGAACTGAGAAGCAAAGTTTGCGTTAAGAAAAACAAGGTTTAGAAACTTAGAAGCCAAGTTTATGTTCAGAGTTTGGGAGCTGAGAAGCAAACAGAGTTTGGGAGCTGAGAAGCCAGGTTTGCGTTTAGAGAAACAAGGTTTGGAAGCTGAGAAGCCAAATTAATGTTCAGAGTTTGGGAGCTGAGAGGCCAAGTCTGCGTTAAGAGAAACAAGGTTTGGAAGCTGAGTAGCCAATTTTATGTTCAGAGTAGCTGAGAAGCCAAGTTTGCGTCAAGAGAAACAAGGTTTGGAAGCTGAGAAGCGAAGTTTATGTTCAGAGAAAAAAGGTTCGGATGCTGAGAAGAAAGGTGTCAGTTCAGAGAAACAAAGTTTGGAAGCTAAGAAGAAAAGTTTGTGTTCAGAGAAACAAGGTTAGAAGCTGAAAATCCAGGAGGGGTTTCAGAAAGCCTGATGTTTGGATCTGAGAATGCAAGGTTGGTAAAGAAAAATAATGGTTTCAGCTTCAAAGAAACTAGAGTTTGCATCTGAGAAAACAAGGAATTTAGATTGGAAGGTGAGAAGCAAATTTTTGTTCAGAGAAATGAAGTTTGGAAGGTGAGTAGCCAAGTTTATGTTCAGAGAAATGAAGTTTGGAAGCTGAGAAGCCAAGTTTGTGTTCAGAGAAACAAAGTTTTGAAGCTAAGAAAAAAGTTTGTGTTTAGAGATACAAGGTTAGAAGCTGAAAATCCAGGAGGGGTTTAAGAAAGCCTGATGTTTGGATCTGAGAATGCAAGGTTGGTAAAAAAAAATAATGGTTTCAGGTTCAAAGAAACTAGAGTTTGTATCTGAGAAAACCTGGAATTTAGTTCCGAGTAAAAAGGATGAGATATAGGAATTTTTTCTAAACACCTCGTGTTTAAAAAAAAATTAGGGTTTGGTTCAGAGAACCAAGGAGTTTGATCTGAACATAATTGATGTGTAAAAGAAACGTGCAATTTAGGCCTAGAGGAAAAAGTATGGAACTGTGAAATTTGGGTAAGGTTCAGAAAATCAAGGGTTTTGAGCTCAGAAATTGCAAAGACTTCAAGTGAGTCTAAAAAAATGAGGGTTTTCCATATGTGAACAGGGTTGGGTTCAGTAATAATTGGGAATAACAAGTTAGGATTGGATGGATACAGAATAAATTTTAAAATGAAGATTGATGTCCGATTCGTTAGACATTTTCTAGCTATGCTTTAGCTGTGACTTCCTCGCCTAGCTAGCCTGGGAAATCGCAGCTAAATCACAGCTAGAAAATATTTAACGAATCGGGTAGAAATCTTTAAAAATGTAATTTTTCCAATTTTTGAACTTTAATTCGAAACTATAAGTTATTTCAAAAAGAACTTAGCTGTGTTGTATTAAAAGCCAAATCGGTAAAGCGCTCTTATTGGTTGAAATCCGATCTAGGGGGAAATACTCACATCTGATTGGTTGTGTCGAAATTGCATTGCAGAGCTTACTTTATACGCTTAGAAAGTGCCGATCGCTGAATACACTGATAATTTGTAAAATAAACGCGCAAGCAAAGATGTTAAATAGGAGAGAAAAAAAATAATAGATTTGGACCCCCCCCCCTCTTATCAATTTTGTACATGACCTAGATATTTAAACTATTTTCGACAAAAATATTTATTTTGTATTTTTTTAGGGTGAGGGAAGGGTAAGACAATTTCTGGTCCGAACGCTGCGGCTAGGACAGGCCAGGGGGCCGAGCGCTGCGGCCAGGACAGAGCTTAAATTTCAACAATTTTCAACAAAATCAGTATGTATATTTAGGGTAAGGTTAGGTTAAGACACTTTTTGCGCTGAGCGCTTTGACTACGACAGGCTAGGGGGCCGACGAACGCCGCGGCTAGGATAGGCTAGGGGGACGGGCGCTGCGGCCTCATGACCAACTTAATCATTGCGTTGACTTTGAGATGCATGTATAAATTGATTTGAGGGGGGGGGGGGGTCCTAAAATCGTTTATAGGAAATTACCTAAGTTTAAACATAGCCGAAAATCATTGAACAAATGGTGACTTTATTACGTAAACTTGTGCAACAATGTCATTAACCAATTTTAAACTCAAGCCGAATTTATAGGCCTATTCTTCATCAGCTACCTTATCCTATCTAGTATTTAGCTTAGAATGGAAACATATTTAACTTGTGTAAACCCTTTTCTTTCTTCGTTTGAAAAAAGTGTTATCTTTGATTTATATTTACATGATAAGAGGGGGGGGGTCCAAAAATCGTTCTCTAGGAAATTACCTACATTTTAACTTAATTAGTAAGTGTGGATCTGTTTCCTAATATTCTAAAAAATTATATTTTCAGAATAAAAAATGGGGGACAGTGACGATGATAGAGAGTATCGGGGACGACGGGACAAGTTCCATACTGAAAGGAGAGGCTATGAAGGCGGGGAAAGATTTGGCGATGAATGGCGGGAACCACGCCCTCTTCCTCCCCCGACATACGCCTCTGGATTCCGACCACGTCCTTCTTATGGCGGAGGAGGCGGAGAATTCCGTCGAGCTCGGTATTCACCGGAGAGGCGGAGAGAAATGTCTCCACCTCCTAAGCGAATTCGTGGCGGTTGGGAGGAAGAAAGGTAATTCAGGGTCACACCTTGAAAAATATTCCCAGATAATAGCTTCCCCCCACCTCCCCTCCCCCACTCCAACCTTATTACTTTTATCATTTTAAAATCGGAAATTGTGCGTTATCATTAAACAGTAGTTGGAAGTACAATACATCCACATTCCACATACATAAGTTTGTGTTTAGATATGGTGGTGGTGGTCGAGGATATGAAGGAGAGTTTGAACGAGAGTTTGATAGACCTCCTCCTCCCAGTAGACCTTCTCATGGTAGGATAGTCAATCATTCATCTGGGACCAAATTTAATAAAGAGTAAAAAGAAGTTGAACTACTTAGTCTATGTTAAAACTTAAATGTGTTCTTTTAATCCTGATTCGGTTCAACTTAGTCCACGTGATTCAATTACTTTTCGCTGTTCACTGAGTTTTGTCCATAATTTTAAGAAACTAGTATACTTACTAGATTTAATCCAGATCCAGATTCAGGATCAGTTCAGTAAAAAGCTGGTCTGAATCCTGTTATGAAATTGCAAAATAAAGCATTTCTTTTAATTTTGATCCGCTACCAGTTAAATTCCAGGATCCGGATCCAGAATTCAAATGTCACCTATCGTAATGTCGTGAAAAATCGGATACTCCAGCTTTAAAATAAAATCTCGTCTTGAAGGGAATGGTGACGTAATTTGAATTTGACTATTTATTGATAACTATGCCCTAGTCACAACGGACCCTTTATATAGCTTTATAAGAACAAGAATAAATTTGACCTCCATGTTTTTAACTTAAAAAATTAATTATTTGAAATTATGGATTTTCTTAAAAAGAAAGTTGTGGATTTCCGCTAAAGAAAAAATGTTGAAATTGTCAGAATTATGTCTGCATATTTAAATCTAGAAAACCGACGCTATCTTCCACATCAATAATCAGATAAAGGTTTAATGGGTAATGTTGTAAATCTGGCATGATTTAAGAATTTTTTTTTAATGGAGGGTCACGTGGAGGGTCACGTGAAATTACAACGATAGTTCCAATAAAAGATCATAAATGTTTTCTTACTTAAATGGCACTTCTTATATCCTTTGTTTTCAAATAGATAAAACATCTTTTTATTTAAAACTAATAAGACATGTTTAGGGAGTTCAAGACATAAACCGAAGGAAGACGATGTTGACGGATTTCAACCTGCCATGATGTCATTCAAGTCATTTATGCATACTCAGGTTTGAACACTTACTTTTATAAACACACATTAGTATTTTTTGCTTTTCTCATTTATTATTATTTTCGTTAAATATTTAATTTGTTTTTAAAAATTTCCAGAATTTTCACTTCCCAAGCCATTATTGTGTAATGTGCATTTGGGGGTCCCATTCAGGTTTCCTTTCCAATTCAAACTTGATTTGACTTGAGTGTGCAATTTGTTTTTTTTATTTTTACTTAAAGGGTGAAACTATTAGGCACTTTTTTATAACTGCTCAAATCCACCATGTTCTGTTTTATTTTCTTTGATACAGTTTGAATAAATATTTGAAGATTTTTTTGTAAGGGTTTTTATTTTGGGATTTTTGCTCTTTGTAAATCAAATCGCCAGGTAAACCAGAAGAAATCAATTGAAAATTAATTATATCACAAGCAAAAAACTCGCGTTTTTTCAGCATCAAATTAAACATTTTTTAAGTATAAAAAACCAGACAAATAAACGGTATTTAGCGGTTCAAAGCGCACCTTTTGATACCCAAATCAACATATTTTACAAAAAGTTGAAAAATCGACCTTTCTTTATGAACTATGTTTTTAGGATGATTCTATCTCCGACGAGGAAGGGATTAAAAAGTATGCAGAGTATAAACTGGAGTTCAGGAGACAACAGCTGAACGAGTTCTTTGTCACGCACAAGGTCAGAATTTTGTTTCTCACGGAAATTGAATCTTGTTTTTGTAGAGATCAGGCTGAACATCCCTAATGTGGGCAAGACTTGAAACTCAAACCTTAAATTAGGAGCCTGAAGCCATCCCTGCAAAATGTAATCTGATTTGATAGAATGTTATGAATAGTTAGTAAATGGTCTGGTTAATATTTGACATATTGTTGTCTAAGTTTGTCATTGGTGTAAGTAAAATTTAACATAATTTTATTCAGGATTTTTTGGTTTATGCAAACTTTAATATTATGCTGTTCATAAATTGTCATTAATCTAGTAAAATATTGTTATTAAGGATTTTCATTGGTTCAGCAAACTTTAATATAATGTTCATATATTGTCATTGATGTAGTAAACTTTATAATCTTGTTAAAAGATTGTCATTGGTGTAGTAAACTTTATAATGTTGTTCATAGTTTGTCATTGATGTAGTAAACTTTAATATAATGTTCACAGTTTGTCATTTAGCTACTTGTTGTTGAAAGATTTTTTTTGTTGTTAATGAAATCTTGAATTAAGGAGGAAGAGTGGTTCAGGCAAAAGTATCATCCTGAAGACAGTGTAAAGAGAAGAGAAGATCTTAAGTCTATGTTGTTACGTAGAGTCGAACTTTTTCAGGTTAGGATTCAAAAATATTCTCAGAGCTCTGAATTCGACTGGATAAAGAAAGAACGTATTATTGTTTACTATCTGAAGTACCCGGCCTAGCCCGTGGAATTTTAGAAATCCTTGAAAAAAATATTTTTAATGTATAATACATTACATACACACATACAAATTTATATATATAATATATATGAGCGAAGAGCTTTATTATATAGATTATTGAATATTTTTGTTTATTATTGATTTGATTGTATATCATTGTAATGTATAATATTTAGGAGTTTACTGACTCTGGGATGTTTAAAGATTTAACTTTAGACGGAGATAAGCAGGATGCTTTAATGAAGGTAACCAGCCTCTCTTGATAATTTATTTTTTATAATTAAAATGATTTAATACACAATATAGTCATTTGGCGAACAACTGAGTTGCGTTTTTATTTTTTTATGAAAAACATCTCTTCAATTGTTTTCCCAATGAGGTGGTTCTGACTCTGATTTATGTGTAATGATGATTGATGGTTGACTGATTATTTTTAACAGTAAATCATAATTCAAAAGCTTAGCCTAATCTCGCCCAGGGTTTATGTGGAATTTTTAAAAGTTAAAAATTTTGACTGTTCTCCAGGTGCTTGACTCAGTAGTGATAAAACTAGAGGGAGGAACAGACTTCGATCTGACAGTCCTTGATTATCCAGACGAGGAGGAGAGCAAGGATAGAGATAAGGACAGGGAGAAAGACAGGGATAGGGATGAGGATAGAGGACGGAAGAGGAAGAGAGAAAAGGTAAAAGAGGTAATTTTTCATCTTAGTTTAAGGGAGTGTTCATATAAGGAGATGTAGTAGATAATAAGTTAATTGGTATTAATTCTTAGTTTGTTATGAACACTGAACACTGAAGTAAATTATCTCTGAATTCACGACCCGCCGGCTCAGTTTCACAGTACCACTGCAACCGAGATTTCTCCTACATTTAAGATCTATTTGCGTTATCTATTTAGTCATAAACCTAAATTACTTAACTGTATCTAAACACAAAAAGAATGTTATAATCTATATTTGATTTGAATAATAATTATAAGTTATATATCTATTAGGACGATGACAAACCTGAAGATGAAAACGCTGCATTGATGAAGAAAGCTAAAGAGTTTCTTAAGTTTATGGATCCAGAAAAGGTATGATCTATTTATCTATTGATCTATTCTTTTATGGTAGCATTTATCCATTGATCTACGGATTGTTCGAGAGCATAGTTGATTTGTCAAACCTAGGGGAAAAATATTTTCGTAACGTGCTGAAACATCCCGATTTTGAGCTTTGTCTCACTCTTTTCCCCACAATGCACAATGCACATGGATATTTAAGTCAGCAAATTAAAGCAAAATATGAATCGCAAATATGCCATTTTTAAAAGGATAACAAAGACGAAGAGGAACCAAAGAATGGGGACAAAAATGAGAAAAAGAGAAATCTTGAAAATAATAAGGATGGTGAAGACGACAAAGAAAAAGAAAACGACAACGACGAGGAGAAAGAAGATAAAGAAGAAAGTGAGGATAAGAAAGAGGAGCAGACAGATGAAAAGAAAGAAACTGATGAAAACGAGGTCAAGGCTGACAAGGAAGAGGACAAAGTAAAGGAAAAAGAAAAAGAAATGAAAGCGTCTAAAGATGATGACGATGGTGAGGATGATGAGAAAGTTAAGAAGGCTGATGATGATTCTGACAGTGACGATGATGATGATGAAAAAGAACGAGAGAAGGGAAAGAAAAGGGTAATCAAATTTTTAAATTTTTAACTAAACAAAATTTGAGTATACATTGAAATGTGAATCTCTTGCTGATGAAAGAGAGGTAGTTAAGGCTAGTTCAACCATATCTTCTGGACTAAATTTTAGCCAGCAATTACTGGCTCAACTATATCTATATTAATAAAAAAAAATCAGTGTCGGAGCTGGTTACTTTTGAGGTTTAAATAGTTTCTCATATTTTTTAAGACATATTTTACAAAAATTATTATTATTTGACCAAATAAAGATTAGTTTTATCTCTGATCGGATTAAAACTAGTACCCGCAGAATACAAATAGTATTATTTGATTAGGAGCCAAGCAAACCTCGAAGTTTACATAAAACGATGTCAATATTTCTCCGTAACCTCGCACCAACTATTACCAAACTAGAAGTGGAAACTATGTGTAAAAGGTAAACTAATTGAACATTATTACGCAAGGTTAGAGAGGGGTTCACGATAAATCAGAAAGGTTAAGAAGTAATGTCATTTACTAGTCTCAATATATCTTCTGCACACTCTTAGGCATTTTGCAATTTCTTAAATGCGAGGAGAAATAAACACATTTTTAACACAAAATTAATGCTTTCTAAAGAATAAATGATAAATGAAAGAAGATTAGAAAGAAGATCATATTGGGAAGTAATAATGTAGAAAGTAGGGTACAGCATACAAAAAAAAAACTACATTGACAGGACATTAAACAGGAATGTCAAGTACTTGAAAAGGGAAATAAAAAAGACGAACGGAAAGTGGAACATAGTGTAATTAATGGATGGAAAGGGACGTCATGAATTAAACTAGAAAGGAGTATTAAAGGAACCTGAAAGGAACCTGAAAGCAACCTGAAAGGAACTGAAAGCAACCTGAAAGGAACCTGAAAGCAACCTGAAAGCAACCTGAAAGCAACCTGAAAGGAACCTGAAAGGAACTTGAAAGGAACCTGCAAGGAACCTGCAAGGAACCTGAAAGGAACTTGAAAGGAACTTGAAAGGAACCTGCAAAGGAACCTGAAAGGAACCTGAAAAGCAACCTGAAAAGCAACACGAAAAGCATCACGAAAAGGAACACGAAAGAATTTTGGAAAGAAGGTTCAGTGTTATTAATATTTTATCTATTATAAAAAAACATTTCAGGTACGATGGATTCCTACGTGCTGCAATTGCCGACCCTGCACCTGACCGGCGTTGGTTCCGACGGGGTTGGGTCACCTTCAGAAGGGATGTCAAGATTAAGGATATTTGTTTTAATTTGAACAATATCAGGCTTAAGGATTGTGAGCTGGGACCTATTGTAAACAGGGATCTAATGCGCAGGTAAAGTTTACAGGATTGTTTTCTCTCATGAAATATATTTTGCAATCTATAATTTAGTTTTGATTGTTTGAATTTTGTGCGAATAGTTTCTCCGTGTTAAGAATCCGAACTGTGCCTGGTCTGACCTGTGATAGGAAGGTTGTGAGGAATGATATAAAGCTGGCCGCCAAGATTATCACCAACCTGGACAACAAGTGGGGGCTCTGGCAGGGAGAGAAGAAGGATGATGTTATTGGTAAAATCTTTAAGCTCATGTTAAAAACAGGGGTGTATATACCCTCAATTTTTTTTTTGATTTCCTTCCCCAAGTTCGATATCTTAAAAGAAATATTTTTTTATATTTATATTACAGTGCATAATAATCCCTAAAATGATGCATTTTAAAAGCATAAATGGCGCCGCAGGAAATTTTTTTTAAACTTTGGGTAATGGTATGGTGGCAATGGCAAAAAAAGTCGGGTTAATCATTGAATCCCTCGGGGGTTTAAATTTCCATTGATTCTAATTTGTCTGAGAGTAAATGACATTCCTTTTTAAAGAGGGGATTCAATGATAAACCCGAGGGCTTGCGGATTTTGCGGATTTTTTTTCCCTTTGTAGATTTTCAAAGTATCTTTCAATGAAAATATCCCGGCGGGATTAAATGAAAATTGTTGCATACCAAAAAACCAGCCTTTTTTAAAGGAATGATTATTTGTCAGTCCAGGAGTATATTGTTTCTTGGAATTCATTTCCCATATTTTTTCTTGGAGGGAGAATTTGTGAAATATTTGAGTAGGTTTGGCTATTTGGAAAAAGTATTGAGTAATGAGCATTCTTTTATCCTATTTGTAAAAAATTATTTATGAATAACTATCTAATTTTAGATAAAGATATGTAGTTTTGTAGAGGTAAAGATCTCCTTCCCTTCACTATATTCCCCTTTCATACTTTGTTATCTGCCAACCTTCCATCGATTCTCTAGTTACCTTTTTACTTCGTTCCCCTTCCCTATCTACCCTACCTTTCTCTTACCTTTCCCTTCTACTTCCCTTCCCTGTCCCTTCCGTAGTTCCATATATTCCTCTCCCTTTCAACCTTCCTCATTCCCTCTCAACCTTCCCCTTTTCCTCTCAATCTTCCCCTTTCCCTACCAACCTTTCCCGTCCCTACTTTTCCTCTTTCCTACCTATATCCTTCCGTACCTATCCACATTCCTCCCTTCCCCCTCCCTACCATTCAGTTGCAGATTTTTTGCCTGTAACATTATAGCTTGTATGTCTATTTTTAGCAATGAACTGTAACTTATCTCATCTTATCGTAACGAATTATTATTAGACTGATAAACCATATTGGATTATTATCTAGGTTTGGACAGCTCCAACCCTCTTCTCTCCAACATTACTGATTATCTGATCGAGGAAGCAAGTGCTGAGGAGGAAGAGCTCCTGGGTTTAAAGGATGGAGATGAGGAAGGGGAGGATGGAGGAGAAGGTGTAACCATTACAAGAGATGATGAGCTGATTCAGGTTCTGGACAAGATGATCTTGTATCTGAGAATAGTTCACAGTGTGGATTTCTACAACCATAGCGAGTATCCTAATGAGGATGAGATGCCCAACAGGTTTGTTAATAAAAATGTCTATTTGATGATAATGCTTCTGTGATATGAAGACGGTTAAACGGGAATTAAATTTTACTATTTTTATTATACATGTTAAAGATCGGCCTGTAATTGAGCCTCTGCCTCTTACAAAGAAGCCTTAAGCTATCCCTGTAAAGTATGATTTGATTTGATCATTTATTTATTTATTTTTCTATTTATTTATTTATCTATGATCCGTAACATGATTATTTGTATATAAGGTGTGGAATATTGCATGCTCGAGGACTGGCCCCATCCACTAAGGTTCCTACGAAGGAGATTGAGGAATACATTGCTGGTAAAATAATATTATAATTTAGAACAAAGTTTAGTAATGTTCTACCTCTCGAGAATTTATTAGAATATTTTTATACATTACTAGCTTGGGAAAACCCCGCTTTGCCTAGAATTTTGTTTTCCATTATTCTAATCTCAAAGTGTATCCCAGATCTCTGTATCCATGATATTTTGACTAGGATTTGAGAAGAAGATGGGAGGGTTCCTGGTCCCTAGATTGGATCTTACAGACGAGGAAGCAATGAAACTTGGGTATTTTTCTTTTTTATCTTTTGCTTTGTAATCTTAATATTTTAGCACTTTTATGATATTGACTTTCAATGAACTAATTTATTTTAGTCGTTATGTTTTATGTTTTAAATTAATTATGTTTAAAGTTTGAAGAACGAGGAGGATGAAGTTGAAAAGTTTATCTCCGCCAACACCCAGGAGCTGGGCAAGGATAAATGGCTCTGCCCTCTCTCAGGTCACTTTAAAGCCGATCCTTTAAACATTTAGTTTTTAATTGTTGTTCAAAATCAGAACATTTTAATTCAATTTATAAACCTGGAGAAAGCAATAGAAATTCCAATCCACCTATAATTCATGAACATTAAAGTGGTTGAAAAATATATACAATTTTTATGGCATAGATTAAGTGAAAAATAATTTATTGATAGTTGCTTTTTTAGGTAAAAAGTTTAAAGGTCCGGATTTCGTGCAGAAGCATATCTTCAACAAGCACGGGGAGAAGGTGGAGGAGGTGAAGAAGGAGGTCAGGTTCTTCAACATGTATCTCAAGGTAGGAGAATATTTTAAACATAGCGGCATTTAATTTGGTTGACAAAATTATTACGTTTGTTTCATATATCTGAAAGTATTACAAATTAAGTGTAAATTTGATGTTGTTTTTAGGATCCGAAAAGACCTCAGTTGCCAGAACACCCAACAAGTAAACCAGGTAATTAGTTCCCCCCCTCCGGATACAGGAGTTTATTTTGGGTGAGCGAAACTGTTATTGTGCGTAGCGCGAAAATTTATGTTTTTCTTGCTCACCCCTAATATTTTTTGCTCACTCTTCAGTCTTTTATTTTAGCCAAATCTAATTTTTTCAACTATTTTGATTTTTAATTTTGGAAATTCAGAATTTTCTCTCTATTTTTCGTAGCTCATCCTTTCAGCCATAGCCTCCCAAGTGTGAGTAATTTAGCTTCAGGGGGGATTTGCTTCTCCATGGCTCACTCATGTATCCTACTTACTTGTTTACTTTTCCCTTTTATCTCACTTTCCCTCAATTCCAATGTTTTTTGTTTTTTTTCTCTCTCTCTCTATCCCATAACATTCACCTCGTTCTCTTAAACACTCCAAGCCTCCCTTCTCATCTTCGTTTTTTTTCCTACTTAATGGCCAGATTAATGAATTGATTTTGTATCTGTTTTGATGTTTGGATGGATTATAACTGAACAGTTAGAAGTGAGCATGCAAACCTTGACACTGTGACGGAAATAATCAAATGTGTTGTATCTTTATTTATTTTAACATTGGAGAGATATCTTAGACCTACAGGGTTACTCACAAAATATGAGAGTGTACCCGGATGAGGGGATTTTAGCAGTAAAACCCTTCACTTGTCCCCTCCATTTAAATGTTTTTATCACAAGAATCACGGTATTTGTATAAGGTTTGGTTTGTTTAGGGATGAGTCGGAGTAGTGGGGGTAGACAACCTGAACCTGGATACGAGTACTCCGGTCCTAACAGGGAAAACATGCATAATTATTTCTCTTGATAAATATTACATAGTATCAGTGAGACCCATACATCTGTGGATTAGAAAGGCGACACTTCAGCAATCGTGTTGATTGTCTATAGTAAATAGTTTTTAAAGCAGCTTAAAATAAATGGGTCTGTGAAGACTTCGCAATTTTTGGGTTTCTTGTTTATTGGACTATTTAAAATCATAGCTCTGTTCCTATTCCACAGGGTTTTAGATTTTCATTGTAGATTAGATAAAATTGTTCTAATCAGCAATATTTCATTTCTGATTTAAAATTTTTCTTTTCAATGAGTCGAGCTTTGAACTAATTTTCAATGATTTTATGTTTTTTTCTGCGCAGAGATGTAACAAAGTACCCTGTATACGGGGAGAGAGGAGAGCGGGGTTATGAAAGAGAATTCCGTGGAGAACGGGGATACAGACAACCTCCTCCACCCCGAAGAGAACCCTTCCCTCCTCCTAGATACAGGGGGAACATGGATACCTTCAGTGGGAGACCTGTTATAACCTACCGAGACTGGGATGCACCTAATGATGAATATTACTAGAACTATCCTGGCAATAATAATTGCATGAACTAACACTACTGTATATTTCACTGTACATTATATGTACAATGATTAATGTACATGTAGCACCCAATTGTACTGCTTGGTGTACCAGTAGTAAATGTTAACTAAATAAAACTTGAATAAACTAACTTTTGTATTTGAACACATGCCGAAAAATAGTTTCGTGTTTCACCGCACACCGACATTTTTTGTTGTTGTATTTTGATATAAAATGTAATTAAATTTAAAAACAAATCTTGATTCAGATTGAATTGTGCAGAGCATGGAATTTTTGGTTAAGACAAAGTTAAACTGCAAAGCCTTAACTCCTTAATAGGAAACTTATCATTAGCCTGATAGGTTATTGATCAAATTAATTTGGGGTGGTGCACTGCGGAGAAACGACTCGACTTTCTCTGATCAAGATTTGCAGTTATGTTCAAAAGTTTCCGGCTCAGATCTATAGTAGATCTGGTATTTATTTTTTGTACCAATTATTTTGTATCATGCATAATGTATATGCAACAATTGCAGTACACTTCTGTTTACATATTTAACAAACTTTGTGGGAAACAAGCTTGTTTATATTAAATAAAAAATCAATATTTATTTTAAATATGAAGAAAGATTTTTTTCGTTTTTGATCAGCACGTACATATGTTAGGTTATAAATTTTGAACTAATGCCATTGTTTTTTTGCGGTAAAAGTATAGGTTGTGACGGGCAGCGGTTAATTGATTGATTGATTGGAATATGAATTTTGATCTGTAATCGCCAAACGCCTAAATTAGTTGGTTAAATCTTATGACTTGCTTATGATTTATTATTTGAATCATTTCTGAGTTGATTTTCAAAATCGAATAGTGTACATAAAGTTTTCAAGTTTTCATTTTAATTTATAAAAAAATCAAATGTGCATTGTTTCAGAATCTAGATAAAAATGAGGGAAGAGGAGAAATCTTCTGATTCAGTAAAGAAATCAGGAAGATATACGGTAGAGTTGTATAGTTGACAGTAAAGATAGTTGGATTTGATCTGAATACTACTATATATAGATAGTTGGGTTTGATCTGGATACTACTATATATATAGATAGTTGGCTTTGATCTGGATACTACTATATATAGATAGTTGGGTTTGATCTGGATACTTATATATATAGATAGTTGGGTTTGATCTGGATACTACTATATATAGATAGTTGGATTTGATCTGGATACTACATATATAGATAGTTGGGTTTGATCTGGATACTTCTTTATATAGATAGTTGGGTTTGATCTGGATACTACTATATATAGATAGTTGGATTTGATCTGGATACTACTATATATAGATAGTTGGGTTTGGTCTGGATACTACTATACATAAATAGTTGGGTTTGATCTTGATACTACTATATATAGATAGTTGGATTTGATCTGGATACTTCTATATATAGATAGCTGGGTTTGATCTGGATACTTCTATACATAGATAGTTGGGTTTGATCTGGATACTACTATATAAAGATAGTTGGGTTTGATCTGGATACTACTATATATAGATAGTTGGGTTTGATCTTGATACTACTATATATGGATAGTTGGGTTAGATCTGGATACTTCTATATATAGATAGTTGGATTTGATCTGGAAACTTCTATATATAGATAGTTGGGTTTGATCTGGATACTACTATATATAGATAGTTGGGTTTGATCTGGATACTTCTATATATAGATAGTTGGATTTGATCTTGATATATTCTATATATAGATAGTTGGGTTTGATCTTGATACTTCTATATATAGATAGTTCATAAGACTACGAACTTCATTTGACTATTTCCATTATATCCATTATTCTGAGCCATATTTAACTATAATGTTTAAATGTATCACTTATTGACATTATACCACAAATATGTATTCTCAGGAATGCATATCTGCACCAAAACAAACCATTGGGGGGCTCCCCTTCACTCATACATATTTAACAAATAGATGATCATACATGAATGAAAGGGAGCTAAAAATGGTTGCATGGCTCAAATTTGGTCGTGTTGCTGGGATCATTCCGATTAATTTAAAACACTCGTTTCATTAACGATTTTACACTAAATAAATCCGGGCTGAAAAACCACCTCTCAGTCAGGACTTGAAACTCCAAGCTGTAGAGTGGAGCCTAAAGCTTTCCCTAACACTCATGATTTGATTTGATTTGATTTGATCTGGATACTACTATATATAGATAGTTGGGTTTGATCTGGATACTATATAGATAGTTGGGTTTGATCTGGATACTTCTATATATAGATAGTTGGATTTGATCTTGATATATTCTATATATAGATAGTTGGGTTTGATCTTGATACTTCTATATATAGATAGTTGGGTTTGATCTTGATACTTCTATATATAGATAGTTGGATTTGATCTTGATACTACTGGTAGAAAGCTTGAAGATGATATTTGTCATATCGGAGGATTCTACAGAAGTCAGGAAGGTGGAAATACATACAAGTCAATGAGAGTAGATTCAAGGAAAGGGGTATAGGGTTTGTATTTATTTAACTATGATGGATTAGGACTGCAAACAAACTGGTTTTGTTGTAAGTAAACAGCTATTATTAAACAGTGAGTCCACAAACTAGACCTACCCTGTCCCGTCCATAAATACTCTGATCTTTGTTTACAATATTTTTATTGTTTTGATAAAACTAGTTCCTAGCAGTCAGAATACGTCACAGTAAAATGTGTACACAACCCCTATCTTCTACCAATGTTCAGGCTGCCCCAATAAACATGGGAATAAGTGACGACTACTCAGTAAAACAAGAAAATTACTTTGTCCAAACAAAGTAAACTCGGATGTCGTCGTTGTTCATCTTGAAGAGACATTACAGATCGACACATCATTACAATTGCCATTTACTGTTTTCATCAAATAATTATGCATAAACTTTTTAAATCTGGTTTTACTGTGCTAATTCTTAAGAAAGGCAATCTAAAATCGTCACCCAATTCCCATGTTTATTGGGACAGCCTGTGTCATCAAATTACAAAATACAACAATTTGCCGAATGATATTTCCATCTCCTAGAAGGGAGAAAACGTGACATATTCTCAGTACATAATGCCCAACAGGTCATTTTTTCTTTTTTTTCTAGCCAAACCATCTAGATAGATTGAATGTATTCTTGCAAGGAAGGATTAATTTTTTACATTTTTTATGTTGGATTTACACTGTTTTATGCTCATCTTTTTTCCACTAGCTAAAGAGCCCGGCGTTGCCCGTGGATTAAAAAAAAACCACTTCGCATATTTAAAACTAAACACGTTAAAACAAAGGGACCGGGGGGTTAAAAATTAGAGTTTTGAAAGAAAAAAACTATAAGCCAGCTTTAGCTTACATATATATATGTATATAAATATATGAGTAAAGAGTTAAATATATAGATTATTCTAATCTTATTTTAGTTTTATTACAATTTTGGGTAATGCTTACTTTACTACTTATTTTGAGTAATGCTTACTTTACTACTTATTTTGAGTAATGCTTACTTTACTACTTAAATATCTTTCTTATTCGTTGTGATGTTAAAGAAAATGTTGCTATTTTAAACGAAAACCTGTATCTCTCCCAAAATTGGCTAATTTAATAATTTTCTAAGCTCTTTTGTAAATTTGAATGTTGAACTTGTTTAGAACACCAAACCCTGCAGCAAGACAAGCTTTTAGCATTCGTGTTGTCAACATTGGAAGAAGCAGAATACTGAAGGTAAAACTAATAAAAATATCGCGCTAAAATACTTTCTACTAAAAATTTATCCTGAGCTAGAAATTTTTTTGTGTGATACTCAAAATCCCGATTGCTTAATCTCGATATCTACAGCGGGCACTTTTAATTTGAGTATCAATGCTTAGTTTCTTCATTTTAGTTATTCCTCCAGAGTAGGATTACCGTGCAGGATATCAAATAAAGTTTAAATTAATCTGCAGATTAACGAAAAGATCGAGATCAAGCATTGATCTAGTGATCTCGATATCCACAACGGAGTTCCCAGCTCAGTATTTTTTATCTATACGTATATTCAGGACCTAAGCACAGGCGAGGTGTTAAAAACTAAAACAGAAATTTCTGGATTAAAGGTTAGTTGTCTTTTTAAAAATCTGAAATTTTTTTAATCGTAATTTTTTATGATTAACTATTATTTTTTAAAGGATTTTTTGAACTGGTTGGAAAAGGCAGGAGCTGGAACAGACGGTGTAATTCTTACCTCTCATGAACAGGTTGCTGGGATAAATCAGAAAAAGTTTCTACAGTGTCGGGAGGAGGGGGGGGGGGGGATGCTCATATGTAAAAAGTCAGATTGTTAAGAAAATTAATTGTTAATTATTTTCTTTAGGATCGTAAGATTTTAGTTCCTCTGTTCATTAAATCTCTTGAGAGGTCTCACCTCCTGCAACAGTGTTCTGATATTATAAAAGGTTGTTTAAGACATACTTTATTTATTTTGAATTAACTTATTAAAATGTTTTCATAAGTTCCATTTTTTAGGATTTTGTAACTCTACTGATGTGATATCTTCAATTTCTAACAAGGAACATAAACATCAATAAAAATAATTTAAAATTAATCTACATTCTACAGGGTTATATATTGTGAAGACTTGGAGAAGAAATAATTTTCGAATATGGGGGAGCCTGATAAAGGGGGTGGGCATGTCCCCCTTAAGAAGGCTTGCCCCATCCTGTGGGGGGGGGGGCAAGAAGTCCATAGAAGGGGGTTCATATAGTTCCTAAAATAGCTAATTTTCCCAAAAATTTGAAAAAAATATGCCCCCACAGTAATTTTTTTATAAACCCTACACTCTGTAGGCAAACTCAAGTTCCACTTTAACATTTGCTTAGATTCTTTTTATTTTTTGCCCTCTTTTATTAAATAATGCCTCCAAGTTAGGATTTTTTAAATTACACTCACACATTCTTATTTAAATTGCCCCACCAGACATAAATTTGCCCCATTTTTTCAACATTTGTAACTTTTGATTTTTTTACAATGGCACCAAATATTTTTGTTTTTTACCTAAATCAAATTTTTTTATCTCCAAAAGATTTATAGATACAACCAATTTTTAAATTTACAGCCCTATCTTAAAAAAATAAAAAATTTTACCCCAAAATAAAGATTTTAGATTTCCCATACACAAAATTGACAAAACTGAAAAAAGCCCGCCAAAACTAAAATTCGCCCCAAAAACAAAGATGTAGAATTTCCCACCAACTCTAAAAATTGCCCTTAAAAAATTATATCTGCCTCTGAAATATAGGTTAAAATTTTTCCCACACAAATTTCCCCCAAATTATAAAATTTTCCCCCAAAATATCCTTAATTGGTAAGGTATTTTTTTTCTTGGTTTGAATTTAATGCACATTTTTCTTGCCCACCCTAGAAATGTTAAGGGGGGGGGGGGGTGATTTTTCAAGAAAATTTATATTCCTATCTATCAACTAATAATTTATATATTTACACTTATATTCTGTGCAAGGAGCTAATTACTTCTCTATCTCTCCGATCCTTGTGTAAAACTGTTCTCCGGGATACGAACCTTCCAACCTCTAGAGCTGTTCATAGGTTAGTTTTATACTTTGTTCAGACTTAATATTAGTGTAAAGGGAAATTTCAAGAGCAGTTTATAGAAACGATGTAAGTTTGAAACTAAAAGTTAAAAATGTTTTTCGTCTTTAAAATGTCGTGTTTAGTTGGACTTATTGAAACTTATTTTGTCTTAATTTAGTTAACAAATTAAGTCTGATGCTCCATTCGGCTTAGCCTTTTACGGTAATATGAGCTTCAATCTGACAATAAAACTAGTTACTTATTCTATTCCTAAAAAATGTGTGTTCATCGTCGAAGAATGCAAACATCCACCATCAATTAATTTAAAATGTAAAAATAGATATTTATCTTTCTCTTCTTCGAAATGTGCGAATCATTCCCACAACCTCTATTTTTGGAGGTTTTTAAATATTTTCTCCTAAACACTTTTTCTTTTTTTGTTATTTTTTTGTTATTTTTTAGAATAAATTACTTACTTACTTACTTACTAACAAATTAAAATAAAATATTAAATTTATACTTATTAGATGTCAACGAGTTATTGAGATATTATACAAACTGTCCGACCCTGAAATCCAAAGCAAGGAAAAAATTCCTTCACAGGATCAAACAGAAACTAGAGAAACTTCAACCTCAGCGGAAACAGAAACTAGAGAAACTTTAACGCCAGCTGAAACAGAAACCAGAGAAACTTCAACGCCAGCTGAAACAGAAACTAGAGAAACTTCAACGCTAGCTGAAACAGAAACTAGAGAAACTTTAACGCCAGCCGTAACAGAAAGTAAAGAAACTTCAACGCCAGCTGAAACAGAAACTAGAGAAAATTCAACGCCTGCTGAAACAGAAGCTAGAGAAACTTCAACGCCAGCTGAAACAGAAAGTAAAGAAACTTCAACGCCAGCCGAAATAAAAACTAGTCCAACCATGTCTAGTCTAGAAACTACAGGTTTAACCGAACCACAACAAAAGAAACTTCAAGAATCTATTTTATTGTTCGTCACCACCCTAGAGGAAGAAAGAGAAAACCTGTGTAAACTTGAAAAGACTGATAAAATACAGGTGCCATCTTTAATAGTATTTTACACAGACCTTATCAAGCCTTTCATAAGTTTAAAGCTAAGAGTAGTAAAATTAGCGAGGTTTTACTTGTAAGTTAAATTATAAAATTATGATTGTGAACCCAGCTTGGTCTGTAACAAAAATTTCCCGGTACAAGTCAACCCACTTAACTTAAATTTTTAAATTAGGCCATAAATATTCCCGTAGTTCTACCGAGTTCCCTAATACAAATCTGTCTAGTGGTTCATGAGTTATGTTTGAACATCCAAACAGACATCCAAACAGAGATTACTACTTTATATTAGATGCCCACAATTGAATACAATTTTACTTGATAACATTGAAGGACGGTCCCGGGTCCATTGTTTTCTCTGGCTTATGGATTTACTGAATTTGTTTCCCTGGACCGGATACATGGAACTTTCTGGGTTGTGGGTTGAACAAATGGTATTTTATTCTATGTATATGATGGCATAAATTAGACGATAGTTGAAAAGGAAAAGAATTATAGGTCAACCAGTTTTTGTCAAAAATCAATTATTTCAAATTAAAAATACTTTCTTTAGAGCACGCTGCGACCTGTATTTGAGGATAGGTTAGGAGAAGGATGGAAGGTTCGAGAGAGAATGTTGAGAATCAGGTAATTTTTTTTTCCTTGTCACGCATCTATACTTTAAAAAAAAGATTTAGCCTCCTGTGAGGATCGAACTCACGACCCCTGGTTTACGAGACCAGTGCTCTATCCACTGAGCTAAGGAGGCTTCACACCTGATTAATACTGTTTCCTTATCTTTTGTTGGAACAAAGTGTATAGTTGCAACATGCTTGATAACGTTTAACAACTAGTTTCTTGTCATGCTTAAAAAAAGAGATTTGCCTCCTGTGAGGATTGAACTCACGACCCCTGGTTTACGAGACCAGTGCTCTATCCACTGAGCTAAAGAGGCTTCACACCTGAATAATACTGTTTCCTTATCTTGTGTTGGAACAAAGGGTATAGTTGCAACATGCTTCATAACGTTTAACAATTAGTTTTTTGCTGAAAATCATTTTATTTTTTCAATCGTAAGTGAAAAATGGACATAAAGATATTTTCGAATAAAACCCCAATATATAAAAAAAAGGATAATCTTATAAACTTGAATGTTTCAGACGAGCCCTGGCTGAAGCAAATGTTGGATACAAGAAACTAGAAGTAACTAACTTTATAATAAAATTCTATTAAACAAGATTTTATTTGACTTTAATTACAAATACCAAACAGCTTTTTTAAGGTAATATGTCAGTGCAAACTATTTTCTAACCCCAACCCCCTTTTTTCTCCAGTATGTCATGAATGAATAGATTGTAGGAGGTTTATTGCTGAATTGGGTAAAGTAGGTCATTGGATAAAATCTATCTTTGGGTGAAAAGTTTCTAACAAAGGGCGAAAACATGCCAATTTAATTTCGATTTTTTTATTGCTTAACCCATCAAAAATTATCCAGTCGTAAAAATAGATATCTTTGCACCTTGTTCTCCGCTCGTGAAAAAATTATGTGAATGACGTACAATTGACAGAAAACAGACAAATCAAAAGTTGTTAAACCATCTTGAAATCATAGCAGACAATAAAACCTTGAACCTCGTTCTCTCTTACTTTAGCAAAATTCGTGCAATTTATTGCATATTAGCTTCGGAACCCAACCCAGCGTTGCATAGAAATTGAACTTTCTTTTAGCAAGTCAACTCACTCAACTTGAAATTTTGAGGCAAAGCGGTCAAGGCTTTCATGAGTTTGACTTACAAACAGACAGAAATAAAAACGGCGACTTATTTCTTGATAAATAACTTGAAACTCCATTCTGAAACTTGGATGCTTTCGGCAAATCTCCACATTTTTATTTGATTTGATGTATGTACTATCCAAACCTTTGGAATGATTACTTCAGTTTTATGGTTTATAATCCATTTCCGTTCTCTTTAGGAGAGCCGGAGATCAGGGAAACTGAACCAGGTTTTGGAACCGGTCAATCTACAGGAGGAAGAGAAGAATGAGCTGCTCAAAATTCTAGAGAAACATTTTAAAGGTACACTTCAATATTTAGCTATCTTAAATTCAGGGGTTTCATTTCTCAGAATTTAGTTGCAGAATAAAAATTGAAATGGCAATTGCTTGCCTGGGGCTATATTTTTCATAAGATGATTTTTATACTAAATATTTTTTGTCGCACATTTAAAAAAAAATTTTACTGTTTTAATCTGTGTCATAATAAAGGGGATGACTTTGCATGGTTATTTTGACCCTTTCTGTACGTCCTTGGTATTTGTCCACTTGAAGTGTCCACTTTCGTAAGTCCTAGGCACACATTGGAAAGTTTATTTATTTATGTTCTTTAACTAGTATGCGTTAAAGCGTTTACATTAAAAGAAGAATGATGGGTCTCCAGTAAATTATAATGCAAACCATGAGAATTCTAACATTTATGTGGCACGAAATATATCTTAAATATATAAAACATTATGATTTTTTCAGGAAGTTGCAAAGTTCACTAAGATTTTCCTAATTTTCGAGTCCATCCTAGAATTCGACGGTTTCCAGTCTCAATTCCATACAATCCTCGGTAGATGATTTCATGGAACCTGGATAATTGTTTAATTTGGAACCCTTGATTCCTGTAATGAGTAGTGAGCTCCCACTCACAAATATATAGAGTCTTTGATTTGATTTGATTAAATCGATATTGAAAGCATTATTTAAAATACTCTAAATGAATTATCTCATAGATGTGATGTTTTTATACTATTACTAGTTGCCATAAAAAAACTCAATAAAATGTCGGTATAAAAAAAGATTTATCTGAGATGTGATAATGTTTAATTCTTTAACCGTGTTCAGATAATTTAAAATGTGAACAAATGACTAGGACTTACAAGCCAAGAAGTCATAAAAAAAGAGGAAAATTCCAGGATGGAAAGTAAGAAATCTAAGCTGACTTTTAGTACTAAAGAGCTAACCTCTGCATTCTAAATAGATTCTTATACGGTAAAGTAAAAAAAGATTTTGTGAGGATCGAACTCACGACCCCTGGTTTTCGAGACCAGTGCTCTACCACTGAGCTAAAGAGGCTTCACATATGAAAATGTTTATTTTTCATCTTGTACTCAGTGGAAACTTAACAGAGTTGCAACATGCTTGTCAAGTGATAACATTAGTCTAAAGTATATATATAGTAGGACTTACGTATATATTGTAGGACTGAAGTATATATAGTAGGACTGAAGTAGGACTGACTTATATATAGTAGGACTGAAGTAGATATAGTAGGACTGAAGTAGATATAGTAGGACTGAAGTATATATAGTAGGACTGAAGTATATATAGTAGGACTAAAGTATATATAGTAGGACTGAAGTATATATAGTAGGACTGAAGTATATATAGTAGGACTGGAGGATATATAGTAGGACTAATGTATATATAGTAGGACTAAAGTATATATAGTAGGACTAAAGTATGTATAGTAGGACTGAAGTATATATAGTAGGACTGTAGTATATATAGTAGGACTGAAGTATTTATTTATTTATTTATTTATTTATTTATTTATTTAAAGAGAATTGCTGGGGTTGTTCCTGGCCCCAGTCAATCCCACCCCTCAGCACTCCCCCTAATGATACGTGTATTCCTCACGCCTGAGGGAATCTGGTTAGTCTGCTTAAGGCATGTACTATTTATGAACCCTGAATGAAAGCGTACCCGGGTGTAGGGATATCAGAACCCGTAGTATTCTGTAGCCCCAGGCCACCATCCTTGGCCCCCCTAAACTCTTGGTTTAGTATGATCTTTAGCATGGTACATGAACACCTTATCCATTTATCTTTCCAGGCAATATTAATAACCTGCCTTTATTACATTTATTGTTACTCCGGGTCCCTCTCATACCACAATGATGGGTTTTCCCTATTTATCAATTTTGTTACCTGTTCTCATGGATATTTGGCTGGCTAGAAATAAATCCGCTTGTGGTCAAGACTCAGGATGCATTATTCTGGCAGATTCCTCGTTCTGATGAGCCACTGTCCTACTAGTTGGTGAATACGCACCACTCTGTTTCTAAGTTCCCACATCCCAGCTCTATCTTGTCCAAGATATTTTCTCAGGATAATACTTGTAGATAGTCCTTGGTGGCGGTTTACAAACTCCTCAATCCCTGTGCTATATCTTGTCCTTGATACCAGTGGACATCTGAGGATTACGTGTCCCTCATCCAGTTTAACATCTTGACCACTCTTCCTGCAGCCTGGGCACATCTTCCACTGTTTACTAAACTTGTTCTGCATATGGTTTCCCAACAGAAGATTCCCTGACCTTGCCATGTACAGCACCATACTACACCGTGAATCATTCACGTGCTTTTGTAAATTGAACCATTCTGATGGTTGAGGTTGAGATCTCAGGGATACATGTTCCCTCTTCTCATCCAGGACGAAGATGACCGCTCTCTCGATCACTTTCTCCTTGAGTTTGAGGCCCTCAATGGGTGTACCAATCTCTCCTTCTATCTCCAGTATCAACTTCATCCAAGGATCATCTGCTCCTTGGTCTCGTAACTCCTTAACACACCCCTTCAGGATTGGATCCTTTTTCCTGTTCAGAATTCTCCAGTAATTACTGCCACCTTAAACATCTCAATGTTAGAATTGTGCTAATGTAATTATCAGTCCTAATCTCTTTTTTTTGAGTCAACTATACAAATATTTCCCTACCTTCAGCCAGATCCTGTACTTAAAAGGCATCAGGCCAGCTTCTGTCCATGACGATACTTTGGAGGTCGATCTTGGGGTTTGTAGAATAAAGTTACCAACCGTGGTCTGGATCCTCTCAATGGCTCCCACTGTCTGCTTGCTCAAAGTCAGTGCCTCTACTGCGTAGAGAATGGAAGGTATCCCACAGGATTCCCACAGAATTCTTGCAAACCTGTCAAGGTTAGCTCTCGTCAAACTCATGATGGAATGTGCAATTCTCCTTGCACCTGAGATTACATCCTGCTCTTTCCTCACCGTACACTTTCCTCTCAGTTGGATATTAACTCCAAGATATTTAGCCATCATTGATTCCTTCAGCATGTCTCCTGTTTGGCCTATATTCCAGGATCTGCCAGCTTTTCCAGTGCTCAGCACAAAAGTTTTGGCCACTGACAAGGACATCCAGGTATTCTTGCAATACCTATCCACCACATCTAGCAGGGTATTCATCCCTTGACATGGAGTCCTAGATACTTCAACTCCTTGAGTCTAGCTCCTAGTCCAGATATATAGAGAGCAAATAGTAATGGAGAAAGCGCGCATCCTTGTTTCACTCCACGAGTAAACCACAATGGGGATGATAACGTCTTCCCAATCCTGATCTGTACACTATCGTTGTAATACATAGATTGGACCATACTCAGTACTCGTCCTCCAAATCCACACTAGTCCAGCTTCTTGTACAAAATCTCTCTATCTGAAGGCCACAGATATTTTGAACCCCTTTTTCTTAGCCTTCTTGACTGTGGCTAGTAGGAGCAGAATACAGTCAGTTGTAGATCTAACAGGTCTAAATCCGTACTCAGTTTCTCCGAACATGTTTTCACGCTCGCATACTTTCAGCATCCTCATATTTATCGTTTTTGTTATTACACTCAGCAGCAGACTTGACACCTTGATGGGTCTTTTTTCCTTCACTTTAAGCGATGCTTCCTTTTTATCAATCAAGGTCATCTTTCCTGTGTTCAAGGATTTCTGGTGTTTCACTTGTCTCCAAGCATTCGTTAACTAGCCTTGTGACCATTTGATAATATAATGGGGTTGCATTCTTATACAGCTTGGTTGGAATATTATCTATCCCTGGAGCTCTGTTGTCTTTATGACTCTTTACAGTATCAGTTACTTGTTTAACAGTAACTCCAGCACAGACCTCTTCCTCAAACTTCTTGCTATCATGCTCTCTTTTGATCCATTCACCTTGATCCTCATGATGTAGAGTGTACACAGCTTTAACCAGTTGTTCGCCTCTGCTGCTGAAGATCTCTGATCTCTGACCTTTGTACATTTTCGCCATCTCAACCAGCACTACTTCTTGTATCAATGCATTAGATGTTACCAGGTTACCCTCATTGTCCTCCACTGCTGATATCCCCATCATCAGGCTCATCACCTTGTTGATTAGCTTCCAGAAGTTCTTTGTTTTCAGGATTATTTTGGTACGTAATTTACTTCGTTCTTTCATCTTACCCTCCAAACTTTCTCCACAGTATTTTTCAGAAATATCTTGTAGGGCTTGTAATTTTTAGACAAACTTTCCTCCTCCTCTAGTGTCCACATGATCCCTGCTGCCTTTTTTGTTGCCTTTGCTGATGCCAATCTCTTAGTTGCTCTTTCTAGAAACTTTCATTTAACTTTCAACTTTCGCATGTACGGTGTTGTGAACCATACCCCTAAAATTACCCTATTGTAAGGTCGTCTCTGACAAACTGTACCCCCGTTAGACCCTCCGTCCACTTACCAAACCAAACCTTTCCAAGGCTTTCGCGTAGATATAAACAAAAACCTCATGGAGCAAAGTGCATTAAAAGAACCAATTTAAACATAATTTTCAGTGAATCATTTACAAATAAACAGTGAAATTACTTTAACCAGATAAATATTTATTTCAGAAGAATTAAATTGCTTTAGACTTCAGTTCAAACAACTTTTCGCCGTACCACAGTTTTCTAGATTTAAGTTCCATATACCTAATTCACAACAGTACCTTTTAAACCTTTTTATTTATCAGTTCACAACAGTGCCTTTTAAAACCTCTATTTATCGATTCACAACAGCAATAAAATATGATCTCCAAATCCTGCAAAGCCTACTAAACCTAGAGTTTCCAAATCCTGCTAAACCTGCTAAACCTAGAGTTTCCAAATCCTGCTAAACCTGCTAAACCTACAAAACCTAGAATTCCAATACCTTTTAGGCCTTTGTTCAATTCTCAATGGTACATGTTTCTAAACCAATTGTTCGATTCACAACAATACTCATTTATTGATAAAACCAGTGTTTCGGATCCGGATCCGGTCGGATCCGTATCATTTGGTCGGATCCGGATCCGTATCAGGAAACGTTGATATGGATCCGGGTAGCGCCAAAAATTAACCAAAACCATGGAATAAATAAATCAAAATGTCTATATTTTTTAAAATTTTTTTTGTTACATTTCGCCGGTTTCGGAATATATAATAAATATAGTTTATAAATTATAACCTTGCATAACATTTAATAGGGAAAATCCGATTCACAGAATCAAAAGTTACCTTGGATCCGGATCCGGATCCAAATCAAAATGATATGGATCCAAAACACTGGATAAAACCTTCAACTGTTAAATCTTTATTAACAATTATTATTTATATGCATGTATGCCAATAACAATTTGTATTTTGTAGGAAACCTTGTTACTGAAATATACATTTTCAAGAAGTTGTTCTCATCTATGTGTGTCTGGTAGAAAAGAGTGTTTTCCTTGCCAATTCGCCTTATTTCCCTCTTTCGAGTATTGTTCCTTTTGTTCGGCTCACAGGTGTTGTTTTGACATTAATCTGTTTCCTCACATCCTTCTCACCAGTTCCAAAAGCCTTCATGCCTGCACACCTGAGAACCTCCTGCAGGAAGATTGTCTTATTGTTTATTGACATCCCTTCATAGCCGGTGTCATGCCTGCAGAGAACTCGTACCTGCAGCGAACTCTGGTTATGCACGCGGCAAAGCGCAAGTTTCTTGAAATGTAAACAAACAAGAATAATTTAATTTATTTGAGTTTACGGCTAAATTTCTGTAATTGATCCATCGTTTTGAGGCATAACATCACTGGGGTCTGTCCTAGAAAACACTTTTTGACCCCCCACCCCCCCTCCTTATAAGTTTTTATACATATAATTAAAAACATAGCTTAAATGTACTATAGTGCGCGCTTCTAGAGGTACAATGTCCACAAATGGGGGGGGTCGTCAATTGAACATTTTTTTCTAAAATGCAGTGGAAAAATGGNTGGACCAAATATGCTAAAATGTGCTAGCAGTCTCCAATTTTCAAAGATTTTTTGAG